GGAGAAAGTCACATTGATGTGAGCTGCAGAGAGAGACGTGAGTCCCGCACGAACACAGCAGCCCCCGGCCGAGCAGCCGGGCGAGGCGGCGGCTCAGGCCCTTTTTCCTGCCTTGTCCCCTTCCCTCCGTCACGGAGCGCTGGGCTCTGGCCAGCCTGGGGACTGCGGGCCAAAGGCAACGGCCTTGGCCAAGCTGGACTGAGGCTGCCCGGAGCTGGGGGAGGCCAGCGTCCGCCCCAGTCACGGAACACGCCCCGGCCCCCGGGGAGAGGCAGGCCTGGAGCTGGAAACTGAAAGTGAGTGTCGCGGGCGTGGGGCTGTGGGTTCCCCACTCCAGTGTGCGCGGCTTGTGCAACAGCTGCTGCCCGCCGCGGTCAGCCGCAGCCTCAGGCTCCCCTGGGCCCCACAGGCGGGCTCTGCCCACCCTCTTCCTGCTTGAGACGTGGGCATTTCATAACGGGGTGACTCAGCCGGCCGGGGGTGTCAGCTGCCGCTTGGCGTGGAGATGACCCAGGCAACGGCCTGGAGGTGCCTGAGGGGCGCCAGCCCAGCGGGGCCTCCCAGCGCAGCCTCCTCCAGAGACTGAGGCGCGGCCAGGGTGGGGTGCGCAGCGAGCACCAAGTGGGGGCCCCCACAGAGGGTCTCCTGCCACCCCACCCTCGGAGCCGGTGTCCAGGGGGCCGGGGGCTGCGGAGCCAGGGTCCAGGGGGCGCCGGGGGGGCTGGGAGGCCGGGGCGCCACCACAGTAATGGGATTATTGGGGGGCGGGGTGCCCAGGCTGCTCGTGGCCTAGAGGCGCCTCCACAGCATCATCCAAGCGTCTAACTCACGCTGCATTTTACTTTTACAATAAAGGGGTTCATAGGTCTGAGCAGCATTAAGTCCCCTGCGCCCCTCCATGGCCGCACATCAGCACAGGCGGACCCCGGGCGGCGGGCGGGGAGCAGCACACAGGCCACGCATCCCCGGGGACCCGCCGCAGCTCATGTGTGCGAAACCTGCATCTTTTCATAGAATCTCATGCCTTTACCGCTGTTTTACAGTACCATATAAATTTTAGGGGTGCAACTCCACACCCCGATATGTGTGTGACCTAAAACACCCTCCAGCAAAGTCCTAGGGCGTCACTCTGCCGCAGCAAGCCCTCCGCTCACCCGTCCAGCCCTGCTGCTCTGGTGGCCTCTACATTTTTCCTGAGTCTCCAGGTTATTTTTGTTGAGATCTGCTGGTTGTTTTGCTGTTTCTTTATGTGCCGCAGAGACGCCCAATCACCTGGCGTTCGCTTCCCGCTGACGCGCGTCACTCACCAGCACCCCCTCCGCTCGTGTTGTCACCACTGGCAAGAAGCCATCCTCTTCGTGGCTGAGTCGTATTCCACATCTTTTTAATCCACTCCTCTGTCCTGGGCCCTTAGTTGGTCTCCACATCTTGCTGTTGTGACTATTTGCCGCGGTGAATGGAGGCGAGTTTATCCCCCTTCAAATTTGTGTTGTCACCGTCTTCAAATGAATGCCTACGCGTGCAACTGCTCCAGCACATGCAGCTCTATTTTTAACATTCTGAGAAATCTCCAGGAGGGCGCCTCCTTCTCAACAATTGTGTCTGGTCTTTTTGACATGGGCTCGTGGGGGGGCGGGCAGTGTCGCGTGGTCGGGCTTGCATTTCCCTGGTGTCAGTGCCGAGAGTGCTCACGTGTCTGTTGGCTTGTGCGCGTCTTTGAGAAGCCTCTAGTCCTGCTCCCATGTTTTAACTGGATTTTTGTTGTCACATGTATGAGCGCTCAGGTCTCGTAGCTGAACCCTCGTCAGCTGCATGGTGCGCGGATCCTGCCCCCACCCAGCAGGGCGCCCCTCACTGTCAGGACGACCCTTGCCTCGTGCAAAGCCCGCAGCTCGCCTCAGTCCTGTTTTTCTTGCTGTTGCCTGCCTTGCCCTTAGGCTCGACCCCCGGTGACAACACGGAGCCAGTGCCAAGGACGGCTCTGCCTGGGTTTGTTCTGTGTATTTTATGGTTTTGGGGGCTACGGCCACGTCTCCGACCCTTTCTGAGTTGGTTTTGGTGGGGCTGCCGGGAGGTTTCACTCTCTTGCCTGCGGCTGCCGGTTTCCCAGCCCTTTTGTTGAAGAGACTCTACCTGATCGTAAGTGTCCGCGCGTGTTGAGAGCTGATCGCTCACACTTGGCTCCCGTGTTTATTTTGGGCTCTCACTTCTGTCCCATTGGTCTGTGCCTTGTTTTGTCCCCACCCCACGCTGTTCTGATCGCGCTCACGAAGGGGCGTGAAGCCACGGGGAGGGTCCCGTTCCCTTTTCCCTGAGGATTGCTGGGGCTGTTCAGGACCTTTTGTAGTTTCGTACAAATTTTAAGATTGTTCTGTTTCCTTGAAAATGCCAAGGGGGCTTGCAATGAGCCCTGATCTCACATCGCTTCAGGCGGGCTGGCGGGCTCAGCCGTGTACCCGCCCAGTCACGCACTCGGCCTGTCTCCACTTCTCTGTCATCTATTTCAACAACATCTCCTGCAAGTTTTCTGTGTCTGAGCCCGAGCCCGCGTCACCACTGTCCAGACCGGCCCTGCTGCCGTTTCCCTCTCTTCTAATTGCGTTTCCTCTTTCAATTGTGTGCCCACTTGCAGATAAACCTCTCTCACCGCACTGAAGAAGACACGTTTTCTAAGAGACGCCAGTTTAGGAAGACCCCAGATGAGAGTAGGGGATGCCCCACCTCTCCCATAACAGTCTGCCCCCCACTCGCGCCGCGAGTGAAAATCAAACACGGAGCAACCTTGGTCCGAGGGGTGCACTGTGGCTTGAGCCTGGGGAGGCCCTGTAATGGGGTTTCCTGGGGAGCACTGAGGCTGGCCCCTCACTGAGCTTTTGTGAGAACCATTTTAAACAACAGCCCTGCCTGGCCGGGCAAGTCCTTCTGCTCTGGAGACGCTGTGGCCGGGGCCTGTGACTGCACAGCGCGCCGGCGGCGACACAACCCGCATTATCGGATTAAAAGGCAGGTTCTTCCGAGTCAGGAGGCAAGTGTGAGACAGAACCTCATTCATTTATCTAGATAATTCCATTAGCCAGCTATAAAAGATAATTTCATATCCTCAGTGGGGTATTTTGCTCAGTTTTAACTCGATAAATTCGCCCACTTTGGCACAGCCGTCTGCGAGGCCCAGGCCCGGCCTCAGACGGGCCAGGGTGCGGGACTGTTGCCGGGAGGCGGGCGGGCGGGGTCGGGGAGCGTCGGGGAGGGCCCTGCTGAGCCAGGCCCCCGGCAGCCCGCGGGGAGGGAGCTGCGGGGTCTCCCGCCTGGACCCCCGCCCGGCCTGTCCGCTCTGGGGCGTCCCCGGGGCCCCGCCGGCCGCGCAGCTGGACGCCGCGGCAGAGTCAGCCCCGGACCCTCGTCCAGCGCCGCGCGGGGCCAGGCCGGCCAGGGGCGCCCCTCGGGGCAGGCCCGGCGAGCCCGGGCGGGCGGCAGCGGGCGGGGCCCGGCAAGCGCGTCCCGCGAGCGCTGGGGGGGGCGGGGGAGCCGCCCGAGCACCCCGGCCGCCCGCGCTCCCGCCAGGTTCCTCCGCGGCGCGGCGCGAGGGGAGCCGGCGCGGCGGGGCGAGCGGGTGTGAGCGGGGCCGGGGGGGCGGGGGGCCCCGGGGGGCCGGGGAGTCCGGGGGCCGGAGGGCCGGGGGCGGGGGGCCGGGGCGCCGGGGACCGTGCGGGTCGGGCTGTCCCGGGAGGCGCCGTGCGGGCCGCGCTCGGGGCCGGGAGCGGAGGGCCCTGGGCAGCCGGCGCCGCGGGGACGGAGGCCGCGCCAGGGGCCCCAACGCGGCCGGGACCTCGGGCGACCGCGGCCCGGCCCGTCGCGCCTGCGCCCTCGGAGCCCTGCGCCGAGGGGTGGGGCTTGCGCCGGGCTGGCCCCGCCCGGGGCGGAGCCTCCCTCCCGGCCCCGCCCACCAGGAGCCCAAGCCGGCAGCGCAGGGCCACAGCCCCGGCCACGCCCCCGGGCGGAGCCTCATTCACTGACCCCGCCCACCGAGGGGCGGTGTCCTATTGCCCCTCCCGCACCCTCGCATCAGGGGCCGCCGGGGGGCGGGGCCTCGGGCCGCGCGTCGGGTTGGCCCTCTCCGGGGGCGGGGCCGCGCTTCGTGTCGGTTCTCCCCGGGGGCGGGACCTAGGGCCGCGCGTCCGGTTGGCTCTCCCGCGGGGCGGGGCCTCGGGCCGCGCGCGGGTTGGCTCTCCCGCGGGGCGGGGCCTCGGGCCGCGCGTCGGGCGCGCCCTCCCGGGGCGGGCCCTCCCACGGGGGCGGGGCCTCGGGCCGCGCGTCGAGTTGGCGGTCTCGCGGGGCGGGGCCTCGGGCCGCGCGCGGGTTGGCCCTCCCCGGAGGCGGGGCCGCGCGTCCTGTCGGTTCTCCCCGGGGGCGGGACCTAGGGCCGCGCGTCCGGTTGGCTCTCCCGCGGGGCGGGGCCTCGGGCCGCGCGTCGGGCGCGCCCTCCCGGGGGCGGGCCCTCCCACGGGGGCGGGGCCTCGGGCCGCGCGTCGAGTTGGCGGTCTCGCGGGGCGGGGCCTCGGGCCGCGCGCGGGTTGGCCCTCCCCGGGGGCGGGGCCTCGGGCCGCGCGCGGGTTGGCTCTCCCGCGGGGCGGGGCCTCGGGCCGCGCGTCGGGCGGGCCCTCCCGGGGGCGGGCCCTCCCACGGGGGTGGGGCCTCGGGCCGCGCGTCGGGTTGGCTGTCTCGCGGGGCGGGGCCTCGGGCCGCGCGTCGGGCGGGCCCTCCCACGGGGGCGGGGCCTCGGGCCGCGCGTCGGGTTGGCTGTCTCGCGGGGCGGGGCCTCGGGCCGCGCGCGGGTTGGCCCTCCCCGGGGGCGGGGCCTCGGGCCGCGCGCGGGTTGGCTCTCCCGCGGGGCGGGCCCTCCCGGGGGCGGGGCCTCGGCGCGGCGCGGCCACGTGACGCGGCGGCCCGCGGGACGGGGACGGGGACGGGCCGGAGCGGCGCGGGGCGCGGGCGGCCCGGCCATGGCGCGCGCCGAGTACACGCTGCGCAGCCTGGGCGCGGGCGCGGGCGAGCGGCGGCGGCCCGAGGCGGACGCGGGCGCGGCCGGCGAGCGCAGCCTGCTGGCGGGCGCGGAGCTGGAGCGCGCGGCGCGGCGGCGCTTCGGGCGGGCCGGGCCGCCCGCGCTGCTGCTGGCGGCGGCCGGCTGCGCGGCGCTGGGCGGGCTGCTGCTGGGCTACGACACGGGCGTGGTGGCCGGCGCGCTGCTGCCCCTGCGCCGCCGCCTGCGCCTGTCCGCGCTCTGGCAGGAGCTGCTCGTGGCCGGCGCGGCGGGCGCGGCCGCGCTCGCGGCGCTCGCGGGGGGCGCGCTCAACGGCGCGCTGGGCCGCCGCGCCGCCGTCCTGCTGGCCAGCGCGCTGTGCGCCGCGGGCTCCGCGCTGCTGGCCGCCGCGGCCGCCAAGGAGACGCTGCTGGCCGGACGCCTGGTGGTGGGGCTCGGCATCGGTGAGTGCGCGCCCCGCCCGCCCCCAGGGCCCGAGCCCGGCCGCGAGCCCGACGCCAGGCGCTCCCGCGAGGCCCGGGGCGGCCGCCAGCCCCAGGCTCGGCCGTCAGGCCCGCGGAGCCCCTGGGCCCGCAGGCTGCCCCGCCCGCCCGCCCGCCCGCCGGCCGGCCGGCACCTCCAGGGGCCCTTCCTCTCCGGCCCCCACCTTGCCCCCGATGACGCCCCGCCCCTGTGCCCTCGCGCTGCTTTTCAAGCCCGCGTTCGCCGTCCCCTTCGCCCCCCCACCTCGGGAGCTGAGCACCCACTAAAGGTGAACCCCACCTTGAAGCCCGGGTCGGGCCTCCCCACACGTGCCCTGCGGGCAGCCTCTGCAGGGGCCAGGTGGCTGCTTCCCCGGCCGCGGCCCCACTGGCCAGTCCTTGGCCTCAGGGACCCCGTGGCCTCCTGGTTTCCACTGCAGGGCGCTGGGCACTCGGAGCCACGGGCGCGTCTTTGTGATGGGGTCGCTGCCCTATGTCCGGAGCCTCCTAGGGTGGCGGAGGGAGCGGGGCCTGGACGCGGGGACGCCATCCTCACAGGTGCCGCGAGCCGCTCAGCCCCGAGCTAGCAGGGAAGTGGCTGTGGGACGGCCTTCATGTGGGATGGGGCTGGCCAGGGCACGGCGGGCCTGCCCTGGGGGCCAGCTCTGTCCTGGCAAAGGCCCTCAGGGGCGTGGCGCTGAGAAGGGTCTGGAAGCACAGATGGCGTGGTCAGCAGGCACCTCCGGGGCCTCATGGAGCCACATCTGACGTGGTCGGGACTTGGCTCCTGTCCCTTCCATGCTTGCCTGGTGAGCGAATGAGACACATCTGGCGGCGCCTGGGCCCAGTTTGCTGCATAGCGCCTGGGGACGGCTCCCATCATCGGGCTGGTCCCCGCGTGCAGGCCCCTTCCTGCAAGCCCCCGCGCTTCTGCAGCCAGGGCTGTTGGGCCGGCCTTCATCATGGGCAGTTTCCTGCAGCCCCTCTGTGCCAGCACTCCCTCTGCTGGCCAGCCCTGCCGCCCTCGGGCCCGGCCACCGCTGAGCAGTGCTGCTAAACAGGCCGCTCCCCAGACAGCTTGCTGAATTCTTACCCTTCAAGGCAAAACAAACATAAAATCTCATTGGATCAAAAAAAAAAAAAAAACCTGCAGGGCTGAGCTGGGGACCACCCAGGCGCCCTTGAAGGCAGGCAGGGCAGCCTGAGCAGCGTGGGTCCTTCCATGTCCTGGTCCCACCCCCCCCAGCCCCAAGCGCCCCCATAGGCTGAGGGGCTGCTCTGGGTTTGCAGTGTGGAGGGGCAGAGATGCGGGGAGCAGGGCAGGGGAGGGGGCGCGGGTAGAGTGTGGCCCGCCACGGGCCCTGCACTCTGTGCAGCAATCACGCAAACAACAGGAAATAAATGAATGGAGCAAAATAAAAGCTCCAGCGGTGCTGATGAGCTTAGCAGCTAGCAGCGAGCCAGTCAGCCCACGGGAAAGGGGAGGCTCGCCACTGCGACTGCGAAGGGAGGGAGCAGGATGCAACGCAGATCTCGCCTGACACCGGGGTGAGCCGCTGCACCGAGCTCGGGGCGTCGTGAGGTGCCTGCGTCACAGCTGCAGCTGGCGTTTCAAAGCCTGAGAGCGACTGGAAGAGGAACGGGTCGCCGACTGCCCTGAGAGAACGTGCATCCGTGTCCAGCGGCCTCAGATGCCTGTTCACAGCAGGGAGACACCGCGGTGAGCGGCTCTTGGGAAAGCGCTAACCCGTCAATAACCCAAGTGACCGTGAAGACAGCGTCTGACTCTACATCAGCTCATTAGGAAAACGCGCGGCTCCTCAGGACGAGCCCTCCTGGGCCCAGGCTAGACTGGAGCTGTTTTCTGCAGGGAAGTCCCGCTCCCGCCCACGTCCTTACCGGCCTCCTCACTGCCGCGGTGCCCTCCACCCTGCTGGCCGGCCCCGAGCCTGGCCCCGGCTGGCCTCTGAGTCTGTGAACCCCGGGCTTGTGATCTGGGAACCCCACATCACGAGCCTAGAAGGGACAGAAGAAAAACCTCCTCTGCATGAAGGAGTTTGTAGACGTACGATTTATAACCTAAAAATTCTTGGGGTACCCAGGGCCCGTGACAAGCAGGCCTTGCCGGGTGTGCTGTGGAGAGGCCCTGGGAGTGAGGCCGCAGGGCCCCACTGCTGGGCCGGGCTGGGGTGCCTGGGCGGGAGCTGGGAGGCCCCAGGGGCAAGCGTCGTCCCCTAGCTGAGCAGCCGTCCCGTCCCCGCAGCTTTCCCTGGGCTCGGGTTTCGTTCCCAAAGGCGCGGAGATAGAGCCAGGCTGCAGCGACGGTTCTTCCCAAATGAGCCCCCCTTGCTCTGTGAGTCGTGGTGAAGGTGATCGTGTCACGGGTGTCTGGAGACTGGACTTGCTGGTCCGTCACTGAGGCCAGCGCCCCACCCCACAGCCCCGGCGTCCGTGGGCCTCGGGCCTGCCTGTGCCCGTTCCGGAGTGTCCACCTGCCCGTGGCCCCCCGCCTCCTGCATCCTCTGGGCTCCCGGGCAGGACTGAGTGGCCTCGTGTGAGCGCACCCCACGTCCACACTCCCTGCCGGCTCACTCGGCCTTGGGCCTCACCCTCTGACCCTCCCCAAGTCGGAGCTGCACTGAGGCAGCGTCAACTGTTCCCGGCAGCTCTGACTCACTCAGGTGTGCGCGGGTCCGTGGGAAGAGCAGGTGCTATTTTAAGTTCTCTCAGACTCTGGGGTGCAGCCTTTTCTGGGCGACACCCACTCTGCACATGAGAAGCTGCCGACCAGCCGGGCCCTCGTGGGGCTCCCCCGGCACATGCTCCCCAGGGCCACAGCCAGGAGTGGACCTGGGCGTGAGGGCCAGCCTACCCAGGCTCGGCCCCCACCACCTCCTGGCCGGCTCGCTGGGGCGGGGGGGGGAAGCCAGGTCCTCACCATGGAATCTGACCCTGGACCTTCGGGTGGATAGGAGTTGGGGCTGCTGGCCGCTCCCGGGTATCTGCGGCCGCGGAGCAGACCTCGGCCTTGGGCTGGTATGCAGGGGAATGGCCGTCTCCTGGCCGGGATGGATGGCCCCGGACGGTGGTGCCCACATGGGTAGGATGGGGTGCAGGACACTCGAGGACCCCACACAGCACCACCTCAAGTGGGGCGGCTCACAGGGTCTGCTTGGCCCTCTGCAGGGATCACCGCTGAAGGTCAGGGGCCGCGACCCCACTGGCCCCCTCAGCAGGCGATGAGTCACCCCAGTATAAAGGGCGCTGTTCACGGAGGATGTGGGCTGGGGTCGGGCCCTGGTGGGGGGCTGGGGTGCAGCTCCTGAGCTGACTCACAGGCCGGGGAGCCTGAGGCACAGGCGCTTGCTTCTGTGACGTCCTCTTGGGAACTGCAGGCCACCTGGACGCGCCTGTGCTGGAGGAGGGGGTGCTGTTCCGGGCATTTGGAAATGGCATCTTCTGCGGGTGACGCGTGTCAGAGGAGAGCTGGCAGGCGCCAGGCTGTCTGGCTGTCAGCGAGCGAAGGCCTTGCCTGGGCTTCCAGGGTACACCAAGGAGGGCCGGCTGCGGGGCGCGCAGGGCCGCCTGGGGGGGTGCAGGGCCGCCCGGGGGCGCGCAGCTGGCTTGCGGGCAGCGCGGGCTGCGGGGAGCAGGCGGCCCCGGGGAGCCCTGCAAGCCGCGGGCCCGCCCTCCCGCCTGGACGCTCAGTCCTCGAGGCCGCGGGAAGCGCCGCCCCGGGCAGGCCGAGGTGATGGGCCTGGGCGGCTGCCCTGGGGCGCTCCCCGGGGCGCCCGCTGCCTCGATGCGGGCAGGGCGGGGCGGCCACGGGGCGCCGAGGAGAGTGGAGGGTCCCGCCTGCCCCCGGGCCCCCAGCGGCCATCCCAGGAGGCGCCGCTCCTCCCCTGCAGCGCGGGCCCCGCGGGCCTCGGGCCTCCCTCCGCTGGTGGGCGGGGGAGCCCGGGCTGCCCCCCTCGTTGGGCAGAGCACCCGGGGCGCTGGGGGCCGCCCACCCGCCTGTCCCGTGACTCCCACCACCCGCCCGTGGCCCGAGACAGAATCAGCCTGGGAGCCGTGGGCGGCCGGGCAGCTGGCGGGCAGGTAGCGGGCACCCGAGCCTCTCCTGCCGCCCTGCGGCTCCGCCTCAGCAGGCACCTTTGGCCCTGGAGGCCTGGCGCCTGCTGGCCGTGGGCTCTGCGCAGGTGCCCGGCTGTGTCCCCCTGGGCCTGGGTCGCACCGCCGCGGCAGCGTGGCCCTCGGAACCCCCTGGAGGGCCACCCAGTGCCCTGGGACACCCTGGAAACCTCTCGTCCACGGGCGACTGGCTGCCCTCAGGGTGCCCTACTGTGTGCAGCCTGTGGTGGCCCAGCGTGTCCACGCGGGTGGGGCTGCAGAAGGGGGCTCCTGGCTGCGGGAGGCGCTGCCTGCCCGGCCCCTGCAGGGCCCCATGGGTTGGGGCTACCCACCCAGCCCTCCAGCCGTGGCCCTGGCCACACGCGTGTGCAGGCGTTTGTGTCTGACCTGGCCCCACAGAGGCTGACCCCAGAGGCTGCGCCCCCAAGGCCTCCCCAGACTCCTGGCTGTGCCTGTGACCTGCCCGCAGCCCCCACGCGGTGCCCGCACCTCTCGCTCGCCCCTGCCTCCCCTGTCCGTCCGCGGGTGCCCAGGGTGGCTGCCCCGCCCAGAGCCCTGAGCCCTCTCGCCCGCCCGCAGGCCTGGCGTCCATGACGGTGCCCGTCTACATCGCCGAGGTGTCCCCGCCCCACCTGCGCGGCCGCCTGGTCACCGCCAACACCCTCTTCATCACCGGGGGCCAGTTCTTCGCCAGTATCGTCGACGGGGCCTTCAGCTGCCTGCAGAAGGACGGATGGAGGTCCGTAGGCCTGAGGAGTGGGGGACACGCGCGCGCTTGGACCGCCCTGCAGGCCCCCACCCCCCACTGGGTCTCCCGTGCGCCCCTGGGAACGGCAGCTCAGCTCCCCCACCTGCCTGTTCCTGGGCACTGCTGGGGCCCAGCCGCGGGGGAAGCGGGGCTTCCCTCTGGGGCAGCTGCGTGCGGCCTCTCCCCAGGAAAGGCCTCTGGCTGTCGCGAGGCTGTTGGGGGCTGGGGGAGCCATGGGGCGCCCTGGGGCCTCCATGGAGGGACACGAGCCGTTGAGAGTCCGACACTGAGCGCCTCGCCAGGCTGGGCCTTGCACCGAGCACGACAGGCGGGGCTGGTGACAGCGCCGGGGCCTGGCTCGAGGGGATGCCCGCGGGGTGGACGGCAGCTGCCGAGACAGGGAGGCAGTGGGGCTGAGGCGAGTCAGGAATCTGGCCCGGTTTCAGGTACCTTGGGCTGGTCCGGTTACCGTGACCGAGCTCGAGACACATAATTCAGTCTGAGAGACCGAAGTGAAAACAGATAAAGATGGCGGGAACCCCCCAATCTGGTGACAGTGTGATTAACCCAGGAGGCGCAGAGGCCCCGGGAAGCCGCGAGCGCGGTCCCGTCTGACCTGGCCCGGCTGTCGCGGACCCCTGGGGTCGGGCCGTGATGCTGACGCCCCCACGCGGGCGGAGCCCCCTCCGGGCCGGTTCAGCTGAGTCCAGGGAGGCCACAGGGCCCCTCAGCTGCCGCCCCCTCCTGCGCCTGCTGCACGGGAATCGCGATGTCCTCGCCTGCAAGCCGCGGGACCGTCCCGCGAATGCGCCGTCGGCACTGCCTCCCCGCACGCTCCGCTCGGACCGTGACCCCGGACGGCAGCGGCGCACAGGCCGCTGAGGGGGCGGAGACGGCAGCCGGATGGTCATCCCCGGGAGGAGTGGACGCGGGGCGGTGGGCAGCCACCTTGGAGCGGACGCCCGCCCTCAGTCCCCGTGGCCCGTGCCTGTCGGGTGGGCTCCGCGTGCCTGTCTGGGCCGGAGGATGGGTCCGGGCTCCTCCAGGACCGAGCGGAGACTGGACAGCAAAGCAAAATGACAAGGTCCGTTCCCGGTGGAAAGGACCGTAGAGCCATCAACCCGGGCCTCTCTCTCAACGAGAAGCGACTTAGAAAGCACGAGGTGGCCTGAGCCGCAGTCCACCTGCCCCGGGCCCGGCGGGGGCTGCGGGGAGGACGCAACTCTTCCGGGCCGCAGGTGCGCGGGCACCGAGACGCCTGGCCCTTTCGTGCAGCTCGCGAGCCAGACGTTGCTCCTTTGCCCTGCCCCGGCACAGCGTGGGCGTCCAGGCTCCAGGGCGCCCACAGGCATCCGCCCACGGCCCACGCTCCTCCGCAGGTACATGCTGGGCCTGGCGGCCGTCCCGGCAGCCGTGCAGTTCCTCGGCTTCCTCTTCCTGCCTGAAAGCCCGCGGTGGCTCATCCAGAAGGGACAGACGCAGAAGGCGCGCAGGGTCCTGTCCCAGATGCGCGGCAGCCAGACCATCGACGAGGAGTTCGAGAGCATCCGCAGCGGCGTGGAGGAGGAGGCCAAGGAGGCCGGCTCAGGTGCGCCCCCGCCGGCCGCACCCCTCTCCTTAGGGCTGCGCTTGAAACGTTTTGACGACACGCGCAGCTCTTTGGGACGTGGCTTTTTGGCTAATGCTGTTTACAGCGGAATGTGATTCACCCACAGCCCCCGGGCCTGCCACCGCCACCCAGGCGCCCGCAGCGTCACCATGCCCTTGGGCCCCCCGGCCTGCGCCCCTCCCCACTCTGGGGAGCCCCAGTTCCATAGGCGGGTTTCCAGGCTTGTTCCCCAGGGCACAGGGCCTGGCCTGCATGCTGGCGTGGAGGGAGGGGGCCCCTTCCGTGGGTGCTTCTGAGCAGCGTAAGTGTTGACATGGCGCGGGCCCTGGGCGGGAGGACGCCCCTGGGACTGGTTTGGTTGGGGTCCCTCAGGTCCAGGCCCTGTGGCCAGACCCTTCACACTGCAGAAACCTGACGCCGTTTCTGGGCCCCGGGGGCCCCGGTGGACGTGGGGTTGGGGCAGCTTTGTGCCTGGGGCCAGGGCTCTTCGTAGGGGCCTTCCCTGTCACTCACAGGCACCGTAGAGGGGTGCACAGGGGATGGTCCATGAGGCCTGCTTGCGCTCCCCGCTGGTCCAGCCCCATCCTCCCCGGCCCCGTAAGTTCCGTCTTACGGCTGGGTTGGTGGGTTCCACGGGGACAGGGACGCTTATCCTCGTGGGTGTGGAGCCCAGGATAACAGCCGTGTCCTCTTTCCTGGACAGCAGGGCCCGTGATCTGCCGGATGCTGAGCCACCCGCCGGTGCGCCGAGCCCTGGCCGTGGGCTGTGGGCTGCAGATGTGCCAGCAGCTGGCGGGCATCAACACCATCATGTGCGTATGGGCTCCGCGGGGCTCCTGGAGGCGGCAGGCTGGGCCGGGGTGACCGTGTCCTCTCCCACAGGTACTACAGCGCCACGATCCTGCAGATGGCGGGGGTGGCCGATGACAGGCTGGCCATCTGGCTGGCCTCCCTGACTGCCTTCACCAACTTTGTCTTCACGCTCGTGGGCGTCTGGCTGGTGGAGAAGGCGGGCCGCAGGAAGCTGACCCTGGCCAGCCTAGCCGGTAGGCATCCCGATGTCCGCTGAGCCCTCCCAGGGGACGCGTCGCCCTGGAAGGTGCTGCCGGCACCAGGCCTCACAGCCTCTCAGCAAGCACAGCCCCCACCCTCCCCCACCCCCCCAAGTGGGCCCTGCGGCTCCCTGGAGGGCAGCCGTGCTGGCCGGTGCACGGAGAAGAGGACCCCAGCCCGCTGGGTGAGAAGCCGGCTGTCTGCAAACCCCCGGTGCGGCGGGGGGCAGGTCGGAGCCTCGTTTATGCCGGCGGGCGGAGGCAGGGCGGGCAGGCGGGAGCTGGTGCAGCCACGTCCCACGAGCTCCTTGCCCACCTGTGCTCGGTCACTTCTCCGCAGCACAGGAGAGGGCAGCGCGGGGCTGGTTGCGTGTGGCGAGCAGCCCTTGAGGCCCCTGCGCACAGCAGAAGCTGCAGGTCCACAGGCCGCAGGTGTTCAGCCCGCTGTGCCCCAGGAGCCTCGCCGGTTCGCGCCTCCTGCTGGGGGACAGGGGAGGCAGCCCAGGCCCCAGGGGCCGCAGCAGACAGGAGTGGACAGGAGTGGAAGGCACCTTGTGGCCAGCACGGGGTCTCCCCAGCCCTTGCCAGCCCCACGTCCCCGCTGCGCCCCAGCCTGTGGGTCAGAGGCTGGGCCACCCGACCTCCCTCTGGGCCCCGCCCCAGGTGGCTGGTGGGGGTTCTCCGGGCGGTGGGGTCTCCCAGGGTGCCCAGGCTGGGGATTCTCAGGGTGGCCAGGCAGGGGAAGGGTGGAGGGATCCCAGCCTACGCGCTTTATGGGCACACCTTGGGGCCACAGGAGGGTGGGCATTGGGCGGGCCTGGCTGTGGGGGAAGCCTGATGGCGCCTCCTGTCCCAGGCACCACGGCCGCACTCCTCGTCCTGGCGCTGGGGTTCCTGCTGTCCGCCCGCGTGTCCCCGCACGTCTCCCTCAGGCCGGCGGCCCCGCCAGGACAGAACTCGTCCTGCACCCGGTACAGGTGCGCCCTGGCCTGCGGGCCACTGCCTGGCTGCTGGTTTCCTCAGACCCGGAGCCCAGCTCTGCTCACCACACCCCTCGGGCTTCCGGGAGACCCGTGGGAAGAGGGGCTGCTGCGCCCCCAGGAGTGGGCGCCAGTTCAGGCAGCAGCACGGCCAGCCAAGCCCCGCATCCAGTTGGGGTTAAGGCAGCACCGAGCGCGCGGCGTTGAGACCCACGGGGAAGGAGCCACCGCTCCGAACTCCGGCTTGTTCAGGACACTGTGGGGCCAGAGGAGGCCGGTCGGGAGGAGACTGGGCACCTGGGCCTTGAGTGGCTGTGGCCCTCCGGCTGCCCGGCCACGCAGGCAACCCCCTGCCCCCCACCGCCTGCTCGGGCTCCCGGCGCTGCATCCCAGCGCCCGGCCAACATCTCAGCCACGTGGGTGGGGGTCTCCCCGGCTGGAGCAGAGCGGGGTGCAGGGAGGGAGGCGTGTCCAGAGGCGCGAGGCCCCTGCTGACCGGCATCTCTCCTCAGTGTCTGTGAGGACTGCATGCTGGACCCAGGCTGCGGCTTCTGCTACAAGCTCAACGGGTCCACGGTCAGCGAGGCCTCGTGCGTGCCGGTCGGGGAGACTTCCAGCAGCGAGGCTGCCTGGGGCCGGTAAGTAGGGGCTGTGTGGGGACACAGTGGGCAGCACCGCTGTGTGCGGGGTGCCTCCCTGCAGCTGGTCCGCACCCCAGGCTCCAGAGGGGTCACTGCCCGGCTTCCCTGCAGTGTCGGGGTGCTGCCTGCACACGGGTGACAGGGCTGGGCTCCAGGCCATATACCCCGCGAGTTGACGGCTCGGCGCCCTGCCGGCCACGTGCAATGCCCCAGGGCAGGGGTCGGGCCCCACAGAGGAGGGGGCTTCAGCCACCCCGACCCCAGAGCCATGCGCTGGGGTCATTGGAGGCAAACACAAGAGGCGTCTTCTGCAAACAGCCGACCCGCTCCGGGCGGGCTGCAGGAGGGCTGCGGGGACAGCGCTGGCCTTGCGGGCAGAGGCCCCAGGAGCTGCGCTGGGCGGGGCGCTGGCCCCGGGAGGCGAGAGCAGCGCGTGGCTCCTACTGCAGGTGAGAGCCTGCGGCTTTCAGGACAGCCAAGGGCTCCCACACTCGCCTCTGGGCTTGGCCACGGCCGCAGGGCTCCTGGGCAGGCGCAGGCGCACCCTTCCGCCAAGCAGCCGGCTGGCCGCAGCCCTGGGGACGGAGGCACACATGCTCCAAGGTGCCACACCTGGCCTGGTGGGGCTGCCAGTTGGCAGCAGGCGCCCCAAGAGGCACCCCAGGAAGCGCCCAGGCAAGATGCACCTGACTGGGCCCACACCCAGGCACCCGCCAGGCCCAGTGCACACCCAACTCCTGCCAGCAAAGTAGCGGCTCCTGGGGCACCGGGACCAGCAGACCTCATGTCCAGAGAGCCTGGGGGTGACCCCGCCTGTGCAGCCCACAAGGGCCGTGTGTCCAGGGCTAGAGTTGCTCCTCTTCAGGTCAGGTCAGACGTCCCGTCTCAGAAGCCACTTGCCAGCCTTTCTGCACCGACGTCGCTGACTTGCAATCAAGTGTTTCCCGTCCTGGCCCTGTCCTGCCGTGGGGGCTCCAGCGAGCACACTGGGGCGCAGAGCCCGGGCGCCCGGCTGGTGCCGTCTGCCATCCGCCATCCACGGGGGCTGCCATGGTGTCTGCTCGGCGTGAGCGAGCGTGGAGCTGCCCTCTGAGGTGCCCCACCTCTCAGCTGGCGTCCACACGCGTCCACTCGGGCCCTCGTGCCCGGCCCAGAGCCCGGGGCGGACCCTGGTCGCGTATCTTTCAGGTGTGAGAACGAAACCAGCTTCAAGGCCGAGGAGGTGTTCTGGGCCTACAACTTCTGCCCCACGCCCTACTCCTGGACGGCGCTGCTGGGCCTCATCTTGTACCTGGCCTTCTTTGCGCCTGGTAAGCGGCGGTGCCCGGGCACAGGCGTCTGTCTCCCAGGGGTTCGCTGTCGCCGCCCCGCGGCTGAGCTGTCGCGGTGTCTTGCAGGAATGGGGCCCATGCCCTGGACGGTGAACGCGGAGATCTACCCGCTCTGGGCCCGGAGCACGGGCAACGCCTGCTCGTCCGGCGTGAACTGGGTCTGCAATGTGCTGGTCTCGCTGACGTTCCTGCATGTGGCGGAGCGCTTGACCTACCACGGTGAGGCCGCGGCTGCGGGACTGCTGCGCGGGGCTCTGCCTGCATCTCGTGGAGCGAGGGGCGGCAGTGGCTGTGGTCAGCAGCAGCCACCACGGATCTGTGCTGCTCTGCGCGGGTGTCTCCGCAGAGAGGCCCCAGCTGTGGGCCTGGGTCCACCTGTGATTCAGGCACCGTCTCCCCAGGAAAGGGGGCGTGGTGAGCCTCCCTGCAGCTTTCCTGTCCCCAGAGGCCTTGGAGACGCATGTAGGAAGAGCGCCTCCTGCCCTTAGCTCCATGCCCGCCTCGGCGGCCCTGCGGTCTCTCCTGCCACCCCCGTGGGGAGCCTCGCGTGGGCTTGAGCGGACAACGGGGTGCAGGCATCCTCCATGAGGATGGCGGGGTACAGAGGGCTGTGGCGGCCCTGACGTGCAGTGTCCCCCACCCCAGCCCCTGTCAGTGAGCAACACACCAGGTGCTCAGATGCCAGAACCGCCACGGAGCCCACGCCAGGGCCTCCTCCCTGCTGCTGTACCGTCCCCGTTGGCGTCTCGCTGCTTGGCCTGGGGGGGCGTCCACCTGGTCAGGCTTCTGGGACACTGGCCATCGCTATGGCCGTGGGGCTCTTTCCTGATCCCTTCCGTGGCTGCTTTGCTGCCCAAGACAGGCGGCAGCCGCCGTGCAGTGACTGTGACCTACACCGTCACATGCCCACCCGCAGCTTCTGCAGCTGCCACACAGTCCTGAGGGAGGGTTTGTCCTTTGTGGACGTGGCCTGTGCTGCTGACTGACTGCCCTGTGTGGCCCTCCGGCCTCTGAGTGAACGCCCGTGCTGACTGGCGTGCGGGCGAGGTTTCCAGGCACGCCCATCGGGGACCTCACGCTGGCCCGTGGCTTTCTCAAGGTCCAATGGCCTTGTCTGCTGCTGGGGCCGGTGGCGTCGGGGTCCTAAGTATCAGGGAAGCCCCTTGGGGAGGGCTGCCTTCTCCAATGCCTGCCTGCACCCACTGGACGCGGCTGGGTCCAGGATCTGGGGTTATCGGGGCTTTTTACTCCTCCTCGTGATCACTCGCCCATTTGGATTTCCTGAGGACCGCCGGCTCCCCCCATCCGTGCCTGAAACCGTCACTGCTTGCAGATGTCATGACTAATATACACAGGAAAAACCCAAATACTCCTGAATAACCACCAGCACGGTGGCAGGCTCCAAAGTCAATATACAGAAACCTGTGCATTTCTACACACGCATGGTGAGTTAGAAGAAAGAGAAATCAAGAAATGATCCCATTTACAGTCACATCAAAAAGGGGATAAAGTTAATAAAGGACAAGAAAGGCCGTTATGCTGCGACGTCTGAGACGCTGTCAGGAGCACCGGCAGACACAAGGGACGTAAGAACATCCCGTGTTTGTGACTCAGAAGAGCTAACGTTGTTAAAATGACTGTATCACCTACAGCTTCCCTGTATCCCTGGTGGGATCCCAACGGCATTTCTTACATAGTATTTCTATTTCCGCAGAACCACAAGAGACCACAAATAGCCAAAGTGATCATGAGCAAAAGGGAAACGATCACTGAAACTTCATGGAACTGGAATTAAAACACGCAGATCCACGCCACAGGGGAAGAAACCCACACGCTTATGGGCAGTTCCTTTATGACACGGGAGCCACGCCCCTGCGGCAGGGGAGCCAGAGCCCCAGGCCCGCGCGCGCGCGCGCGCTGAGAAACCCGGACGGCGCACGCCGCGCAGTGACATCAGGCCTGCGGCTCGTGCAGACTGGCGACGGCGCTCAGGAGCTCGGAACGACCTATGTGCCCTGGGAATCCTACAGACATGAAAAACCGAGGTCTTGCTGTTTGCAGCACCTGGGATAAAGCTTAAGGTGATCATGTTGAGCAGCAAAATAGCCAGAAAGAGAAAGACAAAGACCAGATGGCTGTAGTCACAGATAGTCCACAAATGAAAACCGCTCGGACTCTGAGGACACCTGGGGGTTACAGGGGGGAAGGGGTGGGAGGAGGGGGGGGTTCAGTCTGGTAGTGGTGAGGGGGGCTGGGCTGGTGGGGGTGGCCGTGCACTGCTGAGGTTAGGGTTAGGGCGCTATACTCCCGAAGCTCAGCAACATCTTTTCAAAAACTTTTTTAAAAATGTATCAACTCAAAACAGACCATTATACACAAAGGATGGTACCTGTAAACCTCACTGTAAACAAGCAAAGTTACATTAAATTCACATGAGAACCTAGGGGGGAATCTGCACATAACACTAGAGAAAACCATCAGACCACAAAGGAAAAGAGAAAAAGGTGGGACCATTACAGAACCAGCTAACACGACGCCAAGAAGTCCACACGTCTCAATAGTTACTCTACGTGTAAACGGACTAAATTCCCAAGTCAGAAAGTGCGTGGCTGAATGGATTCACAGAAGCTACGTTCGCAGCTCGCCTACAGGAGATGCGGTTCAGACAGACAGACAGACAGACAGAAGAGGCAGGGAAGGGCGTTGCGTGATGACAAAGGGTCAGCCGGCAGGAGGACGCGTCTGCAGCACAGGAGCGCAGAGACACACAGGGCATACACTGACAGGCGTGAGGGAGAGGCTGAAGGCAGCTCTCGCCTCTGAGGTCAGAGAAGAGAACACCCAAAACCAGCGAGCACGCCGGCCTTCACGTGTCAGAACATGGTGACAGGCCGAGCAGGCCAGAGGGCGTGGAACATTCTCCAGCCAGACTCCAGGTCGGGCGCAGACAGGCCTCGGTCGACGCAGGCGTGGTGATGTCACACCAGCTGCCTGGGCATTGAGCTATCAAATATGAGAACAAACAAAAAACCCAAACTCCACAAATGTCAAGACTCAGCAACATGCTGCCGAACAGCCCGCGGCCACTGAGAAATCACAGAAAAACCCAGCGGAGCAAGACACGGGCAGGAAGGCACATGACCCGCGGCCGCGCTGGGCACCTCGGGGGCACAGCCACAGGCTGCTCAGACAGGAGTCCCGGGACGCGAGCATACACGGTGTCAGTGCGGTCAGTCAGGCTGGAAGACAACAGAATGAAGTCAGCCAATCCAGGAAGGTAAACAACGACCTCCGCCTTGAGTTTCGCTCAGTGAGTCTGAGCGGACCAACCGGCCTGACCCAGCGCCGTCCCGCTCCGCAGCTCTGGGAGTGCGCGGCAAGCGACAGGACCGCCGTGCCCAGAGCCAGTGACGAGACAGGGGCCTCCCCGGGGGCCCAGTGGTCAGTCTCAGGCTGTCACCGCTGCGGCCCGAGTCCATCCCCGGCCAGGGAGCGACCCACAGGCGCAGCAGACCTCTCCCGTCTCCCCGCTGCTCCCTCAGCAGTGTCTCCGTGGATCCGCCTGTTCTGCTCCCCACTCTGTCTCTGTTGAGGGGGACTCCCCTCAACCCCCCCACCTCTGGCCGGCACCCCAGCTCTTCTACACAAAATAAACCCCCTTAAAAAATCAGATGACAGAAATAAGCACGGGGCACAGGCAGGTAATGGCGACACCGGGGCGCGGGAATCAGCAGGTGCCGGGGAGCGGGCAGCAGAGGCTGCGACCAGCCCCGCCCGCCCTGCTGGTCCCCAAGCCCGCCCTGCAGGTGGCCCGCGTCTCCGCCGCCACCCTCACCCTCACCCTGTGCTCTCCCACAGGAGCCTTCTTCCTCTACGCCGGGTTTGCGGCCCTGGGGCTCCTGTTCGTCTACGGCTGCCTTCCTGAGACCAAGGGGAAGACGCTGGAGGAGATCGAGTCGCTCTTCGACGGCCGGCTGTGCTCGTGCGGCGCGGAGGACGCGGGCGAGGGCCGCTACATCGAGTACATCCGTGTGAAGGGCAGCAACTACCACCTGTCCGACAACGATGCCTCCGACGTGGAATAGGCACCGGGCGCCTGGCCTGGCATGGGGGCGCACCCGACTCCTGCCGCAGCCGGCTTTCAACACTTTCATGTTCTGGAATATTCCAACAGGTGGAAGAGAAAACCAGGAGGGCCTTTTTTCACAAGAGACACACAAGAAACCAGCATATGCAAGGACGCCCACTGATAGATACCCTGGCACCGTGTGCGTGTCCCCAAGACAGTGGCTGTGGGTATCGCGTCCACTATGGCCAGTGGCACCCATTTCTCCTGAGACCACCCAGAATCACGAGGGCAAAGGTCCGGCCCGGCCACAGACGCGGGGCTCTGGGGTGGGGTCCGGGGTGTCCTGTCGGAATGCGGCCACTGGCACTCCTCGCCCTGGGGACCAGCTGCAGCTCGCCCTGACCGGCTGGGGGAGGCGCAGCAGCCCTGCGGGGAGCACCATCCCCGGCCCCCAGGGTCCGCACTTACGGCCACCACCACCCCCAGTGTGGCCTGAGCGCCCACCATCGCCACGCAGAGCGGGCGGCCCTGCCAGCCCTTTGCACAGGGTGCGGGCTCCGACCCCCAAGTGCAGGAAGATGTCCCCCCGGCCCCCCACAGCTGTCCAGTCCAAGGCCCCACCTCCACCCGCCGGGTCCTGGGAGGATGGACAGCAGCTCCGGCGAGGGAGGGCCCTGGCGGCGTGGGTCAGTCACAGCGGGGCTTGCTCTTTGGCTTGACCTTTGTTTTTTTGCCCTCCTGGGGCGCTGTCCCCGCTTACTGAGGCGTCATTTTTAATGAAAACATAAAAAAGCAGTTATTTTGGATCCCTTCTCAGTTTCCCTGGAATTGACCCAAAAAACCTAAAAACAACCCAGATTTATAATGTTTTCTTTTTTCTTCACAGTGAGAATTTTGTTCCTTTTTTCCAAAAGTTGGGGTTTCCGGGGGCAACGAGGGGGGCGGCCCGGTGCTGCATGTAAGGGATAGAGGCGGGGCAGCTCCGAGCGTTCTCCCAGTGTCCACCGCGTTCTGCGCCCGTGGGCCAGCGAGCTCTGGCCACGCCTGGGTCGGGAGCTGGCCCGTGTGGCCATGAGGCTCGCTGGCCCCGCGGCGCAGGCCCGTCCCGGCTGGCTGGGGCGACTCCGCGGCCCCCTGACGCCCTCCCTCATGGCCGGCGGCCCCATCACAGTTAGCGGAGGCGGCGTGGTCTCCAGGCCCGGGGGTGCGGGCCCCCAACAGTCCTTTACTGCCAGAAACACCCTTTAGCCGAACGCTATTTCCCTCCAATCAGATGCTTTCGCAGTCAGTCCCCAGGAGCTGCACGTGGCCCCCCACCCTGCACCCCCCCATGCAAGGAAACAAGGCAGAAGCAAGATGCGCGAGAAGCCACGACGGGAAGAAACAGTCGCGCCAATGAAGTGCCCTCTTGAAGGATTTACTTTTCTGACTTACCCAGTGATCGCCTCCACTCCTCTTTATTGTCTCCGGAGCCTTAACTGCAAGCGCAGGCGCTCAGCTGGGGGTGGGGGCGACCCCCCAGGCCCGGCGTCTTCTCCCTGGCACAAGCGGATGTTATTTTCAACTTTAAATCCACAACCGCACAAGGAACCAGGGAAGTAATTAGCCACAGGCCTCTTCTCCCAGATGTCTCGCCTGCTGTGTACACGGCGAGAACGTTACGATCCGCTTATGTGACGTACAAGACAAAGGCACGGCTTGAGAATTGTTTTCCATTTTTTAAAAGACAGGTTGCCACGGAAGAGGGACCTTCCCCAATGAGGGTTATTTTCAGATCCAGTGACAAGTCACAGTATATGAGAAATCAAAGCTTTGGCGTCCAGGCCTCCGCAGTGGGAGCTCAGCACCGCGGCCGCCACTGCAACGTTAAGGGCTGCGCTGAGCGCCGGCCGCTGCGTCTGCACGGCGTTCCACGTGGCGGCTTCCCCTGCTCATCCCAAGCCGGCGTCAAGCTTCCACCTGGAGCCACAGGCCTTCTTCTGAGTATGCTGGTGGCACGGCAGCAGCGAGGCCTATGCTCGGCCGGCACATTCAGCCGCTTCTGAGCCCTCAGGCGGGACGGGCGGGGAGGTCAGGGTCCTGTGCTGGGGCCACGGGGCCCTTGTCGACGTCTGTGTCCCAGCCGCTCGCAGCCGCTGGCTCCCTGACGGGCAAGGCCTAGGGTGACTACCTTCAAAATGCTGTGAGTCACTCCCCAGCGGGATCCAGGGCAGCGAGGAAGTCGGAGCCCATGAGCTGTGAGGCGGGGCGGGCGACCCACCTGCTCCCTGCTGAGTTTCAGCCAGAGGCCCCCCCCACCTCCCCGGGACTGGGCAGTGCGGTGCAGGGCAGGGTGGGAGGTGGCCCTGATTTCATGTCATCAGCACAGCTGTGAGCAAAATTACAGAAGTGTTTGCATCAGAATCAGATGTTTAACGACTGTGTGTGGTTTTCACATTCCGCTGGCAGCAAGGTCTCAGGTTACACGTCTGCAACCCCCTGCCCCTCTGCAGAGGCCGCCCCAGACCCTCCACGAGAGCAGGAGCCCAGGCCGCCTGGGGCAGGCCATGCCGGGCAGGGCTGGGCTCTGTGAGCAGCTGCCCCAGCGGACTCAGACTGTCCTGCCGCCGTCACTGCCACCCGGTCCTGTCGCCTGCGCGGAGCCGGCGCTGGGCTGAGGGAGGGCCAGCGGCTCTCCAGGTAGACCGGCCTGAACACGCGGCCGCCGCCACAACTGTCGTCTCCCAAGGAAGGGACCTTTGTGCCCATCCTCACAGAGGGGCGTTTGTGGCAACGTCCACCAGCACAGGGAGGACTTTACCCGCCGTCCGCGTCTGAGTGTAAAGCGTTGTCGCCCTGACCAGCCTCTCCCTGCGCGTCCCCCGGCCAGACATGCAACGTTGTGAGGCGCCGCCTTTGTCCACGTAACGCTCCTCAGACAGCTGAGTTCGGGCCTTCGGCTCTGTGGCTTCACTGTAACCGCGAGGAGAAACGGGCCACGCGGCGTTTCGGAGCTTTCAGCGTGCAGCCAGTTCACCGTCGTGCTCTCGTGTGAAGCTGAAAAGGAAGCGACGACCCGTAGCCAAAGCCGACAGCCACGTTCCTCACGCCCAGCCCATGCTCTGCAGCTCCGAGTTCCACCTCGCTGGCGTTACGGTACCTTTTCTTTGTAATAAATGTTCAGATTTCTGTTTAGAGTTAATGTACATCTAGATTAAATCAAAATAGTTTTATGCCTTTAAAATATATGTACTTCACGATGTATATCTTCGTTTCCGAGTGCATGTCACGGTGTTGGATCCTTCGCGTGTCCCGGTGAGGTCAGTACAGTCACTCCCACACGTGACAGGTGAGCCCTCGCAGACTGTATCTATCGTTTTCTTCAAAGTCACCCCAGCTTCCAGCTGTATCAAAGTATTGTATATTTTATGGAGATTCAGTGATATACTATGTAAATGTTTTTTAAGTTATTTTATTGAAGTTCAATCTTTACAGAAAATTTAAATCTTTTTAATAAAAGTGTCAGTGCCCGACTGTAACGAACGTAACCAATAAAGCTAAGGCGACCACTGCCATCCGGGCGCCTCTGTGCCTCCCTCTGTCCTCGGCGGCGTCCGGGGCCAGGTGTCTGCAGAGGCGCCGCCTCCAGGCAGCCTGTGTGTTCCTGGGTGTTGCCCTTCCATCGTGCAGAGACGCGCCTTTTAAGCAGTGTTGCCCACTGTCTCACACCAAACCCCAAATCAACTCAAAATGGGCCCCAGACGACTACACACCTGAAACCCTAAAACACAGGGGACCCTCCCGGGCATCCACATCCTGCTCCAGCTGCGAGGGACAAAAAACAACCCAGAAAACAGGCCCATCGAACGGGAAGATCTTGTCAGCAGGAAACACAACAAAGTGCAGGGGTCGGGAGGCGACACCTGCCCGTCCCAAGCCCGGGCGCCCAAGCCCTCGCCCTCTCCTCGGCAGGATGAGAACTGCCCATCCACGGCCCAGGCGGCCGGCCGCTGGGGAACAGGCCCTAGGCCCGCGGGGCACAGACGCCCTCCTGCAGACGCCCTCCTGCCGCGTGTGACCCGCTCTCCGCAGGGAGCAGAGAGGACACTGAGCCCTGGGCCCGGGGACGCCCGAGGGGCCTAGTGGTGCCGCCTGGGAGCTTAGAGAATGACACTTCGGACCCCGAAAGAGCTAGCTGGACACCGCGTCTGTATGTTATCCGAGATCCTGATGCGATGCATACAGCAGGAAATGTTAGCAAAGCCAAAATCAGTAAAAACAAGTATTTTATTTCTCAAGGAAAAACAATCACTTTGAATTCATAGAAAAGACCCACAAAAAATGTTCTTGAAACAGAAAATACACATCCAAAAATTCATGCCATAACTTTAAAATGGGGGCCTAATATTTAAGATGAACAGCTACAAATTTCTTTAAGAGACTACAAAACACCTGAAATTCTTAAAATTTTGGGAAGTACTCAATTTTAAAATAAACGCAACAAGCAAGCATTTTAAACCTGCAAGCAGCGCAACATACGATGAATCATCGCCCCAAATTTTATTTTCTAAAAACCCAAAGTCACCAAAGCTATGAAAGAGCAACGAGACACCAAACCTGCCGGCGGGGCCCCAGAACACCCACCACCAGGGGCACTGGCTCAGGGCGGGGCCGGGGGCGCCTGCTGCTCCCCGGGGTGCTCCCTCTGGCCTCGGCCCCCGCAGGGGCAGGGCGTGGTCAGGTCACACTGCACTGCAGCCTCCGCCGTCCAGGGCCCCAGGGCTGTCTGCGCCCAGGCGTGGCGGCGGGGGAAGTCCCCGGTGGGGGGCCAGCACGGGCTGTGCGCAGACCCGGGGGCAGTGGCCAGGCCGGCCTTCACAGAGGGGAGAGCAACATTTCCCTGATGAATTTCGGGGCTGCCATCGACAGGCCCACTGCGCGGGGGCGCTGCCCCCACTTCCGGATGCTGACGGCGCCCCGTTTCCTCAGCCTCACGGGGTCTCCTGCCTGAGCCTTCACCCTGCGGCGGCACGGGGCCCTCCTCCTCGGGCGGCTGAAAGGGAACGATGCCGTGAATGGCGCCTCAATGAAACACGCGCCATGTGGTCACTTGGGGGCAGACACCCCTAAACCCCATGCTGCGGGCAGCCCGAGACACTGCGGCAGGATCAGGTCACCCCGTGCTGCCGTCTCCAGCGAGAACCACCCCCCCACCCCAGGCCTCTGCACTGGGCCCCGCGGTCACTTAGGGGACTGTAAGCCGTGCACCCGGCACGGAAAATGCAGGAGCGCCACGGAGGGGCGGGAACCGTGGGTGCCACCCGTCACACACAGAGCGGACGCCGGAGGGCAACGGGTGGCCCCGGGAGGGCTGGGAGGGGGCCGAGTGGCCCCGGGGGGGCAGGGGCTGGGGAGGACCCTAGGAGGGTGCTGGGTTGGGAGGTGCTGGGTTTGCGGGGAAGCTCCGGCAGAGCACCCGCAGGGCCATGCCAGCGGGTGGGGGCTCAGGAAGCCAAGACAGCCGTCCCCACAGAGCGGCAAGGAGGAAAATGGCCCCAAAGGAACGAATCCTCTCCTCCGATTATTAGGACTGCCCATTAAAAAAGACCTGAAAAGCGGCCAGAGCCTGCAGCAGGAGGCCCTGCGTGTCCTTCCTCGCGAGGCCACTCGAGGCAGCGCGACAAGGGAGCCCTGGGCACGCAGCTGACCCCGAGGAGCAGGCCGCGGTATCGGGGCGTTTCCCGGCTGCCCCCCAGCCAGGCTCCCCACCGCGTGTCCCAGCCGGGCCTGCTGAGGGAGGCGTGACAAAGGCCCGAGCGGAGCAGACGCCTCGTGAGGGCAACTGCATGGACAGTGGTCGCGTCCAGCGCTTTACAAACAACGCAGTTCACGCTGCGGCTGCGGGTCCCAGCTCCCTCTCCTTGCTCGTCAACACGCCTTACAGCTCTGGCCGCCGATTCCCACCACCGTCCACTCTCTCCAGAATACAAGGTGAACGGCAAGACAGGCCGACCGCGCTACACCAGCGACCACCACACACACCCGAGCGCGGCTTACCGTCTCCGGGCTCACGCTGAGACTCGCGCCCCCTGCGGGCTGAGGGGAGCAGCCAGCAGTCGGGCTGCTCCGCGGAGAGTCATGATCTGAAACCAAGGGGAGCCCCTGAGACCGTGTCATTGTGACCCTGCATGTCCACGGCAGAGGAGACGCCTCCGGCCCATAAGGGCAGCCACCGACTACAGAGCCTGAGGGCGTGCGCGGCTGCGCCCGAGTTAGACATCTCCCTCGTGAGCCCCAGACAGCATCACGGGTTTATTGTAAAATAGAAACATTTGCATCAACAAGAAAGAGAAAGAAAGGGCAGCAGGCGGACTGGGGTCCCCGTGCATTGAGGGGGGCGGCTGGCTGGGGAGGGGCTCTCGCGGGGCTGCACGGGGGTCAGGCCTCTGGCAGCAACGCTGCGGAGCAGGAGGGCTGGGTCCAGTATAGGCAGCCTCGGGCCTGGGGTTCAGACCACAAAGCAACAGGCAAGGACCAGAAGGGCCGGGCCAGGCCAGTCGCCCCCACACGGGCTGGTGGGGTGCTGTCTATGCACCAGTGGACCCCAGCCAGGCAGGGGGTGGGGCTCAGCTCTGAACCAGGGATGCCTGTCCCAAGGCGCTGAGCATCTCGCCGTGGGGGGACAGACACTGAGCCGGGCCCCAGCGGGCCCAGGGGCAGCCGCGGGGCAGGAGCAGACAGCCCACATGACGCAGAGGACACGGGGCCATGCTTGTGATGAGGGTGACCCTGAGAAAGCACAATTTTTTACACAGACTTCAGCAGCTAAAACACGCATGTGCTTTCTGGCCCCAAGAGACGGAGGCTGTTCCCGAAGTGCCAGCACCACCGCGGCAGAGCGCGCGCGCGCGCAGGAGTCAAGCACGAGCAGGTGGCGCTACCACGGGGCCGAGAAGGGGCCGCGCGGTGGGCGGGGAGGGCAGCGGGACGGGGGCCGGGCCCAGGGTGCCCGGCTGCAGCCCCACAGAGGTGCCCTGGCGCGTGGGACCGGAGGCCGAAGGCGGCTGCCTTGGAACGTGGCCGCGGACGGACGCGCGCTGGCAAGATCTTTAAAAACGTGTTTCCCACTTAAACACCCATTTCTTCAGAAGGGCGCACGCGCCACCGTCTTACTGACAGAGGTCCCTGCGGGCCGACCCGTCTTCCAAAGGGCGCCGTCCTCGTCCCGCCGCCGTCTAGGAGAAAAGCAGACATCAGCCCCCGAGCCGGCTGCACCGGCCACCCGGCCGCCGCGCCCCCACGGACGGCGCTAAGCAGACGCGTGAGACCGCGCAGGAGACGACGGGAAGCGGAGAGCCGCGCCGGGCGGCCGCGGCGCAGCCGGGACAGCAGCTCCCTGACAGGGACGTCGCCGGGGTTCGGCCTGTCTGCTTGGGAGCACAGGGTCACTGCGGCCACCGGAGGACACCGCCGCTGTTCCCCCTCACGACGGCCCTGAAACTCCCGTGTGCTTCCCTTCTCTGAACCCGGGGTCTGTCCTCGTCGCTGAAGTTAAAGGTCTTCCCTGATGTCTCACGGGGCCCGTGGCTGCGCCACCCCCTCAGCCGCATCCGGCCACCCCACGGCTCCCCCGAGTCCCGCGCGCCTGGCCTTGGCCTGCAGAAGTGGGAGCTCCCAGGGCAGGCAGGAGGGGCGGTGGCCGCGGCCCTCCCCAAGCGGAGCGGGGCCCACTCCTGGGCCCCAGCCACACGGCCCCCCTCCCCGCTCCCTTCCCCTCTGACTCCAGCGCGCGGCAGACACGGACCCCGCTGCAGGCGGCCCCCGGGGCTGGGCTGTGAGGCCAACTGGGCCGTCCCGCTCCCCCTGCCCAGCGTGGGCACTGGCTGCACGCACAGCCCGAGCCCCGGCGGGACCCCACGTGCGTCTTCACTGTCTGCAACATTCATGTCCTGCACGTGGAGAGAGTCATCTTCTCAACCTCACGTTCTCTGAATTTTCGAGAGACAACCCAGCCCACCCACCTCACGTCGCGGCTCAGTGCCCCACGCAGCTCCCCACTACACGCACAGGTGCATTCCGTCCCACCCCCTTCCGCCCGCTGCCATGGCCCCGGCCCCGGCCTCCCCTCTTTAGCATACATGTTTACACCACGTTCCCCCACCACTTGACACGAAGGCCGGTTCAAGGCGGCAGCGGGAGGACCCAGACTCTCTGCACCCGCGGGCTCAGGGCAGCGTGCCCGGAAGGGACACAGAGCAGGAGCTGGAGTGCACAGAGCAGCAGCCGCGGGAAGAACGCACCGCGGATGCCCCAGGACACAAATGCTGGAAGCAAGCGCCGAGGACACCTGCAGCCAACAGGCCGGACAGCCCGGACGGGGGGCTCCGGGAGACATGGCCATGAAGGCAGACGGCACCGAGCGTGAGGGCTCAGGGGGGAGTCAGTGCAGAAGCCTCCCAGGAGCAGAGGCACAACTGAGGGCAAAGCTGGGACGCCCGCAGGCACATGAGGGGAACCGGACCAGCCGTCCCAAGGACAGTGGGAGAGGGACGCTGCGCGTGTGCAGAGAGGCCCCACCCCGGGCTGGCTAGGTCTGGGAACCCTATGCCGCTGTGTTCACCTGGGGTGCCGTGGGACCCACACGCTGCCATGGCGTGGGGGGAGAGGACCCAGAGGAAGAACTGGACACGTGTCTAGATTGGTCTGTCTCAAATAAAGCTTGTGGGGCTGCGGAAACGTGTCAGTTTTTAGAAGTAAGTGATGGAGCCCCCAGAGTAAGACAAACCAGAACAGCAAGAACAGGGCCTCCCCTGGTGGCGCAGCAGTTGAGCGCTGGGCTGTGAAGCTGCCCGCAGCCTCTGCAGTGCCGGTTCGATCCCTGGCTGCCAGCAAGGGTCCCACATGGCGCGACAGACCTCTCCTGTCTCCCCACTGCCCCCCTCAGCAGTGTGTTTCATCAGTCTGCCTGTCCTGTTCCCCGCTCTGTCTCTGGTGGATCCTCTCGCCCGCCCTTCCCCACATCTGGCCTGTACTCTGGTTCTTGTATAAATAAATAAATCTTTAAAAAAAAACCAAAAAACAGCAAGAACAGAAACTCCTCTGACTCCACGGAGCACAGCAGACACCCCCCCCCCACACACACACACACACCCACGCTGGGGCGCTCTCTTACCTCCTCCCCTCCGGGGTCTGGGGACAGCCTGGGCCATGCTGCTTCCGGGCGAACGGTGCCCCTGGAGGCCACACAAGGAACAGCGTTACCCCTACTCTACGGGAGACCCCAGGAATCCCCGCCAGGTGGCCACAGGCTGGAGCTGGGAAAACGCTGCCCCAACCACAGTGCCCACAAGCCCCACCTGAGCGCCACGGCGGGAGCTGCATGTGGACACAGCCCAGGCCGGCCAGGCTGGGCCTCACTCTCCTTCACTCCCATGGGTGTGCTTAAAAAAGGCAAGGTCTAACCTGCTGTTTTTCAGAAGGTTCTGGGTGTTCACAGAGCCAACCATAAAGAAGCCAACTTACTGATTTCATGAAATAAGTGGTGGCTCAAAATTTCAATTTGCTCTATCAATCCCATAAAAGCGGCGCTCATGTATAATTTTTATGTATCATATAAAAACGCGTAACACATCAGCTCAATACTTGTTTCTCATATAATATGAAATCTATAAGATAAACAGGTTTGTTAATTATAATTATTTCCATAAAAATGCAAATCTCATTTAAGGGCCCCCCTAGTGGCGCAGGGGTTAAGACGCAACCTATGAAACAATCCCAGCCGCTGCAGTACGAGTTCAATTCCTGGCCAGTCAGGGAGAAACCCACATGGCGGGACAGACCTCTCCTGTCCCAGCCGCTGCTCCCCTCAGCAGTGTGCTTCAGTCTGACTGCCTGTTCCGTTCCCCGCTCTGTCTCTGGTGAATCCTCTCACCCCCCGCATCTCTGGCCTGTACCCCAATTCTTGTATAAATATAAATAAATCTTTAAAAAAAAAAAAAAGCAAATGTCATTTTTAAAAAACTCTCCTGGCTCCTGATTTGCAGCCACCAGCGTCGGGCGAGGGCTATTCTGAGGCTGCGGTCATTGCTGACACCCTGGGAGCAGCCAGCCACGGACAGCAAGCTCGGCGCCAACGTATCTTGGCCTCCCTTGCCCTGGCTCCCTCCACCGGGGCATTCCCAGGCAAGGATGAGCTGCGAGGTGTCAGGAAAGGCCAGGCCAGCAGGCCCCTCACAGCGTCAAGTGATCACCAGCGGGGACTGCGAGTCCTGTACACACAGTTCTGCCAGACACGCAACTGCCCATGACACAGCCCCAGTGCCACCCTGGCCTCCTGCCCCATCAGCCCCACTGGACACACAGCCCAAGGGGCCCACACACCTACCCCAGGCTCATTGGGCATCCCTGGGCCTCCCTCAGCGGCATCCATGCCTGGTGACCACGTCCAGATGGCCCTGCAGAAGCACGAGACAGGCTGGACGGAGCTAGCACAGGCTGCCTCTCCTGACGTATGTCTCCAGCTCCCCCTATGGCCATCCCAGCCCATGCGTCCAGACCAGGAGCCCACACATGCTTGATGGTGGCTTTGAGCACACACACATGCACCACACACACGACATCCAACACAGAACACACACACACTCTGACATCGTCGAGGTCCAACACCCACCTCTTCTCTCAGGGCTGGAAGGGCAGGGGTCCTTCTGGGTGCACACACGGAGGGGTGTCCCCTGCCGACGGCCGCACTCTTCCTGACTGTCCCTGCTGGGCCAGTGTGGTCCTGGACGACCCGCCTTCCCGGGCGGCAGCTCTGGGCTGGGGACGTTGCTCCCACCATCCCCACTGGGCAGCTGGGACTGGGCACCCCCAGGGCAAAGGCCTCCGGAGCTGCCCCAGCCACACCCATCAAGGGCGTCCCTCACGCTCTGCGGGCCCATGCGCAGGAGGGCAACGGTGTCCGCACTGGGGAAAGAGCCACCATCCTCAGGCAGGAGGCTTGGGGGGCACCAGTTCCCATCTGCAAGGACACTCGAGGCCTCTTCTCCGGTTTTGCCCCAGACAAGCGTTCGTGGTCGCCCCAGAGCAGCGGCGAGGGCTGCACATCCGGGTTGGCCTGCAGCCCCACCGTCCTCACCCAGAACCACAGCCGGCCGGCCTGCGAGGAAGCACCTGCGGCCTGGGCTTGGGACAAAAAGCACGTCCATCAGGAAGAGTTAAGCTCAACTGAGAAACCCAGTGTCACACCTTTAGAAAACATGCTGAGTCGTTACAAACGTTTCCATAAACGAGGCTTCATTTTGTCACATAAGTCACAACTGCTTTGGACAGAAAACGTCTGGTCTGTCTCTCTAGTGCCTTAGTGAGTCCAAAGCGCTCGACGCTGGCTGGACATTTCCACGAAAGCTTGGACACGGGTCAGCGTGCCAGTCCAGTGACAGAACAAGACAGAGCCGACCCGCAGGGCAGCTTCCGAAATGAGGTGAATGACCTGAACAGCCCTGCCTGCCACGGGAACACTAGGACAGAGGTTTCCCAGCCTCCCAAGAACAGAGACCCCACTGTGGTGCCCCCAGGAAAAGCAGCAGTGATGAGGGCGGGGCAGGGGCACGGGGAGGGCAGGCCAATGGGCAGGCCCGGGCCATCTCCACGAGGCTGAAGCCGCTGAGGCCGGAGGTGCCTTATAAAGTGAGAAGGCGGCGGGGGCCACCCCACACCAGAGGCCAGCGGGCCAGGCTGGCCACAAAGACTTCTGGGAGGCACGCGGCGTGGGCAACGGCCACCAGAGGGAGGGAGGCACGTGGGCCTGCAATGCAGAGAAACCCAGTGGAGACTGGGCAGGTGCCTCGGCCATGTGGTCACTCATGAGAAGGGGAGACGCACACAGTAGGACAGACCCCGCCGGCCTCGTGCACTCAGCGCTGCTCTTCACCCCCAGTATTCTCCCTCCTGCACCCTCGGGTCTGCCCGCTCATACCAGGAGCACCTGCGCCCCCAAGCCGGGAGCCCTACAATCGAGCCATAGTCCCCCTCTTCAGCCTCGCCTCTTCTCGGCTCACCTGTTTGCTCTTTCAAAGACGGTTCCAAACTGCACTGCTTCAGGGGGTGGCCCGAGTGCGCCTGGACCTGCACTAGCTCTGGAATCCAGGGCATCGGGGCGGCCAGCAACAACGAGCTGAGAAGAGAAGGGAGACACTGCGGAGCGGGACTGGCCAAGCTGTCTGCACCTGCCATCAGCTCCTGGAGGTGGCCCAGCGCTGCGCCAGCCGGAAGCAGGTGGGCTCTCCGCTTCCTTCCACAGAGGCAGGGTTGGGGGGGTGCGTCAGGAGACCCGTCTGCGAGACCCACCCGCCCTGCGAGCCCCCTCCTCCAAGCTGCACGAGCCCACAGTGAGGCCAGGGGCTCCAGGACAGCCCCTGTAGGCCCTCTCCCAGAGGAACCTTGGTTTCAGGAACTTGGAACAAGGTTTCAGGAACCTTGGTTTCAGACAAAGGATGGTGAACGACATTTCAAGCTTGAATCACAGCCGAGGCGCCATCTCTGTGATCAAGCTCTGTTTGCTGGGAGAAGCGCCATCCGCCACACTTTGAGAGAAAAGACACCTGGGCCCGGTGGCTCTGGAGCCACACGCAACACTCGGCCGGCACGGTGTGGCCAGGGCCCGTAAGCCCAGTGCGTGACCAAACCCCAAGCACCAGGACAAGGTCCCAAGGCACAGGCTCCTACACCAAGAAACTTGCCCAGCAGTGGGGAAGGCCACACCCTTGCTAAGAACAAGGACCTTTCCAAGCTATTCGAAGATGCTTACCAGCGGGCGGCCTGTGCGGCGGTCCACGTCACACTCAGTCCTCGCCGGGGGGGCGCCACGGTCTCGCTCGCTGCCTGGCCTGGGCCTGCATGCCGGCGTGTGAAGGAAACCGCAGGTGTCAGTGGCTGTCATGCCGTGCAGGCACACACAGACCCGGGAGACCTGCCGGGGGCGCCCCAGGGAGCCTCCCGGCCATGGGCAAGGGCAGAGGGCTCAGCCCAGCAGGACAAGGTCAGCCCCGCAGCCGGAGCCGGGGTTGCAGGCCGGGGCAGGCCTACCTGCGTCTGGTGCCGTCCAGGCAGAGGCAGGGAGGCTCGAGTGGCGGCGACAGGGGCAGCTCCACGTGGCGCTTCCTTGGGGGCACATCCAGGCCCCTGCTCATGTCCACGTGGGTGGGCCTCCTCACGGTCGCTGCTGTAGGAGATGCACTTCTGGGGGGCTCGTGGGCACCACAGAGGGGACCCACCCTGAGGCTGAGCACTGGGAGGCTGCGCAGCCACCAGCCCACTCCCCACGGGGGCCGCTCTGTGGAGACCCCGGCTGAGTCCCGTGTGCCCCCGCGGCTCCACACCCGGCTCAGCCAGGGGACATGCCTGCCCTCAGGCCTCCAGCATGGGCAGCGGAGTGCCCTCCCGAGAGGATGACATCTGGCCTGTCGCCCCCACGCACCCCCCGCAGCCCATGCAGACACTGCCCTTGGGGCCCTGTGCCCGGGACCACACAGACACAGGGTGCCTGACCCAAGACAGATGGACCACAGTGCTGCCCGGGCCCTGGCCCCGCTGACCAGGCGGCCCCTCCAGCTGCAGCCCCGGAGCAGGCCCGGGAGCCCAGGGCACAGTGGGCAGGTGGGCGAGGTTCACCCCAGGTCCCGCGCCAGCCTCCGGGAGAGAGGCCCGCACAGGCTGTGTGTGGCCGGGAGCCCCTCTGGGGTCCATGGTCGGGCCCAGCGAGGCACCATGCCGTGGGCATCACTGACACACACACAACACCCAAAAGTCACCCTCCAAGAAAGACAGAGAGTTGCTGCGAAAGAGCGGGCTGGGCAGGGAGACAGGAGAGGCGGGGAAGACCAGGGACCAGCTTGGAGCTGTGAGACTTGGGGTCAGAGGCGCGGGGCGGAGGAATGCCGCGCTCTGTGAGGCAGCAGGGCCCCCGGAGGGACAGGGAAGGCGCAACCTCCAGCCCCCTGAGAGTGGACATCCTCAGTTCCCGCGTAGGCGCCCTCAGCGCCCGAGTAGCCCCGCAACAAGGGGGGAGAGGCGACACCACGTCCCGGGACCACCCACCTCCCCAGCTGACCCTGAAATCAGCCTCAGGCAGGCCGCGTGACTTGACACCTACCTGGAGGACACAGAGCAGACTGCGCCCCCCTCACGGGAGCGGCCACGGCCAGAAGCCGAGTCACCGAGGGCAGCAGAGCCTCCTCCCCGCGCCCCGCCAACGCCTCGGGCCAGCAGGCAGGAGCCTTTCCCGCTCTGGGACCGCAGGTGCCATCGGCCACGGACAGACTAGGGGCTCGCCCCACAGGCGAGAGCAACTTGGCCCTGAGCCCACGGCTCGGCTTGAGGCCCCGACGCCAGAGGGCAGACATTTGAAGGTGAATCTGCTCCCGCCCAGCCCGGCCGCTCACCTGGGCTGCTCCTGCGGCACGAGATCTGGTTGACCAGACGCAGGTTGAGGAGGTCTAAGCTGACGCTGGAGTTGCTCACAGGGGGCAGAACTCCCAGTAATTGCATTCTTGACTTTAATCTTTTCTTTTCAAAATATTCCTAAAACGGTAAAGGATAAGAAACCACTGCAGCCCTCAGGTGTCCCATGCGGACACAAGGACAGACAGCGCCGGGTCCGCCGCGCCACTGGCCTGACGTCTCCGCATCTGCGTGACGCCCTCTGGCGCCTGCACAGAAGGTAACGTCAGCCACAAGGTGCACTTTGCCCCGGCTCTGAATTTCAGCCTCTCACAATCTTGCCTTGGCCACAAGAGGGGCCTTGGAACAGGCCTCCGTAAAGCCGGCCCTGGATCCAGAGGCAGAAACGATCTGTATGCAGGGAGTTGGCAGAAACCTGGAGAAGAACCTCGGACAGCCTGCCCACTTTCTCCAAGGGCTACTCTCCCGAGACAGAGCCCTGGGGCATGGGGTGCCGGGGGAGCAGCGCCCAGACACAAGCTGGGGGCAAAGCCGTCACCCTCTCTTGGCTCCTGGAGCATCTCCCAAACCAATGGGCACGTATTTAGCGCTTGTCACTCCGTTTCCCTCCTGACCGAGCTACAATCCCTCTCCTTGTCCCTCGTTCCCTCTCTTTCAGACTACACCCTTGTCTGCCAGGTTTAAGGGCGTTTCTTTACCTAAAACTCAGTTTTGGGGCCTCCCTGGGGGCACAGGGGATAAAGACAGTGCTATCAAGCTCTGGCCAGCCACTGCAGCCTGAGTCCAATCCCCAGCCAGGGAGTGACCCACAGGGGGCAGCAGACCCCTCCTGTCTCCCCGCTGCTCCCCTCAGCAGTGGATTTCAGTGGACCCCCCTGTTCTGCGCCCCACTCTGGTGAGTCCTCCCACCCACCCCACCCCCGCACCTCTGGCCCATACTCCAGATTTTTTTTTAAGATTTATTCATGCAAGAGCTGGGGCACAGGCCAGAGGCACGGGAGGGTGAGAGGATTCACCAGAGACAGAGTGGGGAGTGAAATCCACTGCTGAGGGGAGCAGTGGGGAGATAGGAGAGGCCTGCTGCGCCATGTGGGAATCTCCCCGGCCAGCCGGGGATCGAACCTGCACTGCAGAGGCTGCGAGAGCACCACAGCACGGCGCTCAACCCAGTGCACCACCAGGGAGGCCTGCGCTCCAGCTCCTGTATGCATAAATAAATTGAAAAAAAAAAAAAAGCAGCAGCAGCTCAGCATCAGCGCAGTTGTTACGCACAACACCCTCAGCCGCTCTTCCTCAGGCATCAGATGGCACCGAAGTGAGACTGAACACAAAAGCCAAAAGCGAGAAAGGCAAGCCCTGGGGGCAGGGAGGGGGCATGGGACTGGGCTCTTCCTTGGAGCCGCTGAGCCTGAGGGTCAGGGGCCCTGAAGACCGGAGTCCTGAGACACGGGAAGGGAGGGGCTGCGCAGGAGGATCCGGGGCCCTGGCATGGAGACCTGGGGTCTTCCCACCTGACAGCGACGTTTCTGGTCACTTATGAGCCAACGGGTCACCAATATCAAAAGACTTGTGGACGCAAGGAGAAGTGGCGAGGGGAGGGCACCCCAGGAGGCCCGCCCCCACCCACCGCGTGCAGAAGGCTGGAGTCAGGCCCCGCTGGCCTGTGGGGACAGCGCCTCCAGCTCCCGGGGCAGACACAGGACGCCTGTTCACCTTCTGCCTCCTCCGCTCCTGTTTGACGAGAACCCGGCTCCTGTGGGGGAAAGGGACAAACAACCGCTGCAGAGGCGTCTCCGCCACCGCCAGCATCACTGGAGACGCGGGGCGAGCACCACTGGACTCCCGGGGCGAGTCCCCACAGGGGACTCCAGACAGACCACAGTTCCCACGTGGCCCCGCCCGGGCCCTGGCGTGGCCGCACAGCTGAGAGGGAGCTGCGGCGTGAGCCTGCCCGGAGCACTGGGTCTGGATCCCTGTCAGGCCAATCCGAGGCCCCGTGGGAGGCGGAGCCCAGCACTTGGACCCTGGAGCCAGCAGAGCTGGGTTCCACAGGCGGGTCTCAGCCCTCCAGGCCCGCTGCGCTAGGCCTGCGGTCTCTCCCCACCCCAGGGCCGCCGGGCACCCGCCTCCCCAGAAGGGTCTCCCTCCCTCTCAGCGCTGGTGCCTTGCCCAGCCGGCAGGGAGCGCTGCTCCCCCGTGACACTGTCACCCCGGGGGCAGGAGGGCGCTTGGCTCTTCCCCACGCAGGTTCATTCTCTGCCCCTGGAAGCACCTGCTGTGGCCTCGGCGCCCAGGAAGCCCGGCAGGGAGGGCGCCAAGCCTCACCCCTGCCCTACAGGTCCACAGCTGGACAACAGCTGGCCTGGGAAACATGAGGGTGGGGCGAGAGCAGACCAGACGCAGCGGGAGGCCCCGCGGAAGCCAGAGCCGGGCCGGGAGCGGCCATGGAGGCGAGGCGGCGGCGCGGGGCCTGACGAAGGCCCAGAGGCATCCGGGACCCAGGGGGGACAGGCACAACACGGACCCGCGACCATGGCTGGCCGCTTCCCCGCCCGGGGGCAGGAAAAAGCACCAACCCCGAGGGCCCCAAAGGCCCCCAAGATGCAGGAGGACAAGCATGCCGAGGGGGACGCTCACCACAGCCAGCTGAGGCGCCTGCACACCAATGACCCCCTGCCCCCAGGAACACCAACGGTTTTTTTCAGCCCCCCAAGAAAAGCAGGCCTGAAAGGAGAGGGAAGGTGAGTTATACATTTCAGGTGGCAAAGGGAGAAAAGGCCATGTGCAAAACCCCACCGGGCAATGCTGCCCCTCAGCTGAGAGGCCTTCCCAGGCAGTGAGACACACGGACGGACACGAGTCAGTGGCCACTAGGAACCCTGAGCAGAAGGGGCCAAAGGGGCGCTTCCAGCGGAAGAGAAAGGCGGTGACTTGACAGCAGGAGCATGTGCGAAGCGGCGCACTCGCTGGCGAGAGCAAACACAGTCGGGCTCCCCACACCTCAGCACGGCGGTGCGGACGTCCCGGCGGCCCAGCGTCAGGCCTGAGAGGCGCGCTGGGTGCAAGTTCAGGATTTCACTGAAAGGCAGCATCGCCCCAGGGGGCATCAAACACGGTGACTTGATGACACACGCACGATACAAGACGCACACTGTGGCAGACGGCAGCCTCGTCCCGCTGCAGAGGTCAGTCAGCCTCGGGGAAGAAGCAGTCACCACCAGGCTTCGCGGCGCAGCAGGTGGAGGCGGCTGCACGGCCACGACAGAGCAGCCGCGCACCCCGCACAGACGCCCGCCGCAGAGACGCGGCTCATGGGCAGATCGGCTGCGGGGCCGCGCGAGCCTGGGGGACAAGGCGGGCCCCTGGGAGCAACGGGCGACTCCTGAAACACGCAGTGGGCCGAGACCCGCTCACAGAGGAAGAGACAGTGCGGACGGCCCGCTGACCGGGGATCGGCACCAGCACCAGCCGCCACCACACCGAAGTGCAGGCCAGATGGCTCCCCGGGGGCGGCCCCGCACGCAGAGGCGCCGGCAGCAGTCCTCCCGGCTCTTCCTCAGCAAAGAGGGGCCCCAAGCTCACCCCTCAGGCCAGGGCACCATGATACCAAAGCGGCCAGGACACGGGGCCGAGCTTACACCCTCCCTGTGGACGCTGGCAGGCGCCGGCGGGGGGCCTGGGCTGGGCCCCCAGCCGCTGAGGGAGGCGTCTGTGCGCTGCCCGCGTCCTCCGGCCGAGCTCTGCCAGGCCCGGACCACACGAGTGGGGGGAGGCGGCAGTTCTGGGGGGGAGCCCGCAGGGGCCTTGGGGGCGCAGCCACTGGAGCAGGAGGACCCGCTGGCGGACAGCGCGGCCCCGGAGCCCGGGCGCGCCAGCTGCACGCGCCGCCGGAGAAACGCGAGGAGGGCAGGCTGCTGCACCGCGGGCCGGGGGCCCAGGAGACGCCCGCGTCCCGTAGAGAGGCGAGCCGGCCCCGGGCGGGGCGCACGCAGCTCCGGGGCCCCTGCACCTCTCCCCGTGGCCCGCCCGCCCCCTGCCCGCGGCCTCCTCCCGACGCCCCCCACCCCCCCCCCGCCCCCGCGGCTGCAGGAGCGAGCCCTCCTCTCAGCCCTCCTCTTGGCCGCGCCCCCGCCGCGCCCCGCAGCCTGGCCTCCCCGCCACACCCCCTCGCCCGACCTCAGCACCCATCTCCCCGCGCCTGCCCCGGGGGTGGGGCACGCATCTCCCCCCACCCTGGCATGCAGCCGCACCCCAGCCGGCACCGCAGCGAAGCGACCCGGGACAGCACGAGGCCCTCTCCCCCCCACCCCGCAGGTAAACTGTGCCCCTCATCTGGGGACACCTGCACAGGCTGGGCCCACCTGACCCGCGTGCAGGGAGACTCTCAGGCCTCACTCAGACCAGGACAGAGGGAAAGACGGGCAGGGCAGGGAATGGAACTGGGCGCCGCTAACAGCACCGCCACGCTGGCTGCACTGACTGAAACCAACCCCAAGACAAGGGGGCACTGGCCCTGCAGCATTGCCCGCCCTGGCGCAGGGGGGACAGGCACAGTGGAGGGTGCTCAGGCCCTGCCCACGGTGGGGGGCGCAGAGGCCCAGTCTCTGGGGAGAGAGCTCACTGCAAGCTCCCGCCCCCGCCCGACTTTGAGGGGCTTCTGCCTTCTTTCCAGCCCTGCAGAGAGAGGCTGAACCTTTGCCCCAGCCCAGAGCCCTGCAGCCCGCAAAGCCAACCAGGACAGGACTGGCCCGAGGGTGCGCAGCCGCAGGGAGGATGGAGAAAGGTGCCCGCCTGCTAGGGATTCGCTGGGGGGTGGGGGGGCTCACCCCACTCCCACCAAGCGGCACTGCTGGGAGACACTGCCCTGGGCCAGGTCTGATCTCCACACTTGGGAGGCTCCTTCAGAACCGGAGGGTCAAATTTCAAGTCCCCAGCCCCGACTTCAGCCTCCCCAGGGGGCGGACGCCACACACTCTAAATACTGAAAGAGATGGAGGACCTCATCTCCACACTGACGTAACAGCCACCGGTTACGCTGCTCTCCACCCGGACACGCCGTTATGTTATTCTCAGTAGTGATTTGCAAACCCTTCACTAAAACTGCCTCTGCCCCACTATTGATCACAGCTTCTATTTTTAAAATCACATACTTTGGCTCCGATCTTAAACCTTAAGGGCACATCATGTTCCCCCCTAACCTACAGACCTCAACTCCCAGAGAGACCAGCCTGGGCCCTCCCCCCCCCTCAGTCCCTGGCATAAACTCCCACCCAGATATGCACTCCCAGGGCCTGCTGGGCAGCGCAGCTCCCGTCCTCATCTAACGAGAAACTCCTTGCTTTTCTGCCTAAAAAACAAAAAACAAACAAACAAAAAATGCTAGCCTCCCCCTCACCTAAGTCCCAACGGGACTTGATCTGCATCTTCCTGGGGAGACTGGTTGCATTCTTTAACCTAAGTTATAAAAACAAACTTCCCCTAACAAAAAAAAAAAAAAAACCTCCCCCAGCGCAGCACACACCCCTGTAGTGACAGACTCAGCGATCACGCTCTCAGCAGCATGTTGTGACCCACGGCCCGGGCTGCATTTCGACACGCTCCCTGCTGCCCTCCTTCCCTCCCCCGCCCTCCTCTCTGAGGCAACCACCAGTTCCGTGGAACCAGTCACTGGTCAAAGAAAAAAAAACATACGACAATCTTCCAAAGTGAAAATCTTTCTAAAAAGCAGTGCTGCAACCTTTCACCCCTCAAACACAGCCCTCGATGCAACCAGGGAAGTCAGGGTCTCCCAAGGACACGTAAATAGCACAAAACAAAAATCAGGACCCTGGGTTCTAGACTGCAGATTCCCAGACAAACAATACATTCTTCCTAACAGGTGAGACGAACAAACGACTCTACTTTTGTCAGAAAAGGACTTAAAGGGGAGGAACAATGGAAAGTCAGGGTGTCTGATTTCAGAACAGCTCGGTCCATCGCGAGAGGAACCTGGCGCTGCCGCCACCAGCGAGGGTCCGCGGGTATCAGGGTCGTGGACCGGGGTCAGAGCACCGAGGAGGAAGCTGGTGCCAGCCCAGAGCCAGTCTCCCTCCCTCAGTGAGGCCTGGTGTGCGGGACCGGGGCAGCACTGGTGCCGGCGGCCGGGCCCTGACGCTGAGAGCACGGGAGCCTCCGCCCGGCGCCCCGGCCAGCAGCGCGTCTCCTCCAAGGCCGTCACTGACCCGCCGCGCGTGGCTGGTGAGGCCCGAACTGGAAAGTCAGAGGCCAAGACCTTTGTATACCCTCTGCGAGGCCCACTGCGGCCAGCTGCTGTGAGTCCACACCGCGGAGCGGCACTTGGCCGGGAAGGCGCCACGCAGCCGCGTCCTGCAAACCATGGGGCCCTGAGAGAACCACGCGGTGCAGCAGGGCGGCCTGAGGAAAGGAGAGGCCAGGCGCACGTCCAGGCGGAAAACAATTCAATAAGCTAGAACACTCACAAAGCGCAGGGACACCAGGAAGCACCACGAGGGCCCCCAGGGTTACGAAGAGGGGAAGGGACCGGGAAGGGGATTAAAAAATGGCCAAACAAGAACAGGCACCCCCAGAGGCCCGTGGCGCCCATGCACGGAGACGGACACCCCTCGCTCGCCGCGAGGGTCTTCCGAGTGACAGGGAGAGAGCGCGACGATGAAAGGCCGCCTCCTCGCCTCTGACGGGCGGGCTGCAGAGCGCTGAGGCACCGGCCGGGAGGGGGGTCAGGGGCCCCAAGGCACCAGCCAGGAGGGCGCCCCGGAGGCCCCCAGGGAGTGACCCCGCGGGCGCGGCTCTGCGCGTCTCGCTGCATCACGCTCACGTCCTGCAGCGCGCGGGGGGCCGACGCCTGGGACGGCGGGCACAGCCAGGCAGCTCGGGGGTCCGGGCTGGGGGTGCCAGGCTGTGGGGGGCGGGAACGGCCTGGAAGGGCGGGGGCCGGGCCCGGCTGGGGGAGCCGGGGGTGGGCGGGGGTCGGGGCGGGGGGCGGGGCGCGGCAGAGGGCGGGGAGGGGCGGACAGAGGGCGGGGACGGGGGTCGGGGGGCGGGGGGGGCACAGGCCGCCCTGTAGAGCCCGCGGGGGTCGGCTGGGCCTGGGCGGGCCGGCTGGGCCTGCTGCGACGCCTGGGCGCCCACCTCCCCTCCGCCAAGGGCGCCGCGCCAGCCACCCCCAGGGGCGCAGGGGCGGCGGCCGCACCACTCACCGGGACCCCCCAACCCAGTTCATCTCCTGGGGCGGGCGCGGCTGGAGTCGGCGCTTCCGCGAGCCCTCGGCCGGCTTCGCCCCCCCGCCTCAGCCCGTTCCCGACAGCCTCTGCGCAGGCAGCCAGCCGGGCAGCAAGGCCTCCCGACAGCCTCTGCGAGCCGAGCCGGGCCTTGATAGGCTGCAGGGGCCTCCCGACAGCCTCTGCAAGCCGAGCGGGCCCTGATTGGCTGCACGGGGGCTCCCGCCAGGCTCTGGGATCCAGACCGGGCCCTGATAGGCTGCAGGTGCCCCCACCCCCCAGCCCCGCCTCTGTGAGCTGAACCTGGCTCTGATAGGCTGCAGGGGCCTCCCGACAGCCTCTGCGAGCCGGACCGGGCCCTGATAGGTTGCTGGGGCCTCCCGAGAGCCTCTGCCAGCCGGACAGGGCCCTGATAGGCTGCAGGGGCCTCCCGACAGCCTCTGCGAGCCGAGCGGGCCCTGATTGGCTGCACGGGGGCTCCCGACAGCCTCTGCGAGGGCAGGCGCCCTTGGGGCCTGGTCCTGATTGGCTGCCCGGGCAGCTGTGACGGCCTCTGCGCCTGGCGCCTTTGGCCGGGCCTGCCGGGCTCCCCGCCCTGAGGCTGTTGTAGAGCAGCCCCGATGCAAAACGGGGGGCCTGACCGTGGGTCCTCCCCCGCGCGCTTAAAAGGACTTATCCATGCTCTGCTGCAGGCGCACGCGGAAGGTTCATGAAAGGTTTATTCACAGGGAAGGGGAAATGAGGAAATGTGCAGCTCTGGGAGGAAAGCGGGAGACAAAGTTTTAAATGCGTCCGACCCGATCCGCCGACCAGGAATCCCAAATGGCGCTCTGAGAGCTGCCGCCAGCCAGGAGCCGTGGAGCCAGGAGGCGAGCGATCGCGAGCCAGAGAGCGAGCAAGGCCCACGTGTTTGGTTTTTATACCCAACCTGGCTGCCCAACTCCGCCCTCAGGTCCCAGCCACCCTCCCTTGGTGGTGACGGGACGTGTCTTTCCCAGAGTCCTGATGGCCTTGGTCTGGAGTGGGGGTGGCGTCCACGAAGCCTGCATGGGATTAGCTCAGGACAGCCTTTCCCCCTAACAAGGCGAGCTGGGGCGGAGCCCGCGGGCGGCCCGCCGGGGGCGCTTCGCGCGTCGTGAGACTTCCGGGGAGAGGAGCCGAACCCCCGCGCGCCCCTCGTCCCCTCCGCGCGCTCGGGCGGCAGGCGCGGGGCCTCGGCCGCGGGCATGCAGGGGCGCGGGCGCCGCCGGGCGCGGGCGGGAACAGCCGCGCGGGGCCGGCCTCTCCTCGGCGCCGGCGCGGCCCGTGGGAGCGCCCGGCCCAGCGGCCTGAGAGCGCGGGGCCGCCCCCGCCCGCGAGACGCCCGGACTCGCGTCTTCCCTCGGGCCCCGGGCGCGCCGCTGTGGAGCGGCCGGCCAGGGCGCGACCCCGGGCGCCGCCAACCCCTGCCCCGCGGCTCCCCCGCCGTGGTGGGGGCCCGCCGGTCCCGCGCCCCGGCCCTTGCCGGCGGGAGCAGATGAGCCTGTGGGAAATAGTGACGGGCCTCCCCGGCGGCAGCGGCGGGGCGCCGGGCTGCGAAGCTGCCGCAGCCTCGGCGGCGCCGGTTCGATCCCCGGCTGCTCCCCGGCCACCATGTGGGAGGAGGGTCCCGCCTGGCGCGCAGACCCCTCCTGCCGCCCGCCGCTCCCCTCAGCGGTGTCCTTCGGTCCCTCCGCCTGCTCTGCCCCGCTCCGGCTCTGGCGGGTCCTCGCGCCCGCCCGCGCTCCTGACTGTGCCCGGGGCCTGTGTAAATGAATAATCTGAGAATAAAATAAAGTCGCGCCCTCGGAGAAAACGCCGGCGTCCCCGCACGCGCGGGAGGAACGGCCGAGGCCGAGCCCCGCAGCGGCCCCGGGCTCCGTCCTCCGCGCCTGGCGGGGCCCGGCCGCGCCGTCCTGGCCGCCCGCGCGGCGGGGGCTGCTTCCGAGCGACGCCGTCGGGCTCGTCTCGCCCCGGGCCCCCGAAGACCGCCCGCCGTCCGCTCAGGGGTCGCGCCCGCTCGGCTCTGGCCTCCTCCCGCCTGGCGCCCGCCTCGGTGACCGGCCGCCCCCTGGCCCGCGTGCCGCGGCCTCCCGGCCTGGCTCCTCCGCGCCCGCCGCCCGGGCCGGGCCCGCCGCCCCTGCCCGCCCGGCTCAGCGCGGGAGACGAGGCGGCCGTGGGCCTGAGACCCCGCGCGGCCGCTCGGAGCCGAGCACAGCGGCCCGGGCGGGCGGGAGCGTCCGCAGGGCGCGGGCTGGGCGCGCGCCGGCCCCTCCGGCTCCAGCCCCGGCGCGGGCGCTGCCGGGCGGGCGTCGTCCGGGCCGCGGGGGGCGCCTCCCTGCCGGGCGCGCAGGGTGCGGCCGGGTCTCCGCTCGCGCGGGCCGACCCCACGCCCGCCGGGGCCCCGGCCGGGCCGGCGAGCGGGGCGGGGAGCAGGGGCGGCGCCCCCGGGGCTGAGCGCCCGGCCCGAGGGCGCGGACGGGGCGGCGGGCCGGGGCCGGTGCGCGCGGCAGGTGCGCCGGCTCGCGCGGCGGCGGCTTCAGGGTCGGGCGGCGCCCCGCGCTCCCCTCAGCGCGGGGGGCGCCAGTCCGGTCACTCTCAGAAGCGGCCTCGGCCGGCCCGGGCTCTGCGCGGCCCCCGGGCAGGAAGATGAGGAGGGGCGCGGGGCGCGGCCCCCCCAGATTGGCCCGCGCGCCCTCCCCGGAGGCGCCTCCTGCCCCCGGAGGCGCGCGGGAGCAGCCGGGGCGGGCGGGGCCGCGGCGCTGCCCTGAGGCGACCTCTCCAGAAATAGCCCCGCGCGCGCCGCGCCGCGCTTAAAGGCCGCGCCGGGCGCTCCGCGCTCGCTCACTCGGGCCCGGGCGGCGGCGGCGGGCGGCGGGCGCGGGGCCTGAGCGCGGGCGGGGCGGGCCGGGCCGGGCCGGGCCGGGCGGCCGCCTGCGGGCCGCAGCCGTAGCCTCGCGGGGCCGACTCCCGGGGCGCCCGGCGCGGGGGGCCGGAGCCCGCGGGGCGCGCGGGGAAGGCGGGCGAGGGCGAGCCCCGGCGTCCTCCGGCGACCGCACCGGGCGCGGCGCAGGGCGGGCGGCGGGCATGGGGCCCGGCGGGACTCCCGGCCCCGCGGCTGCGGAGCGGCGCGGCCCGGCCCAGTGAGCCGCCCCCGCCGGAGCGCGCCGGGCCGGGCCGGGCGGGATGGCGCGCCTGCTGAGCGCCGCGGCCGCGCGGGCGCGCTGGGCGCGCTGGGGCCCCGCCGAGAGGGCCGCCTGCCTGGTGGCGGCCGCGTTCGCGCTGAAGACCCTCGGGCCCGCGCTGGGCCGGCGCCTGCGGCCGGGGGCGCGGGGCGCAGGGCGGGGGGCTGCGGGCCGGAGCCCGGGGCCGCACTGCGCCGGGGCCGCGCGCGCCAAGCCGGCGCCCGCCGTGAACGCGGAGTTCCTCGGGCAGCTGCTGCGACTCCGGAGAATCCTCCTTCCCCGGCTCCTGACGGCCGAGGCGGGCTGGCTGGGCCTGCACTCGCTGGCGCTGGTCTCCCGCACCTTCCTGTCCATCTACGTGGCGAGGCTGGACGGGAAGATCGTCAAGAGCATCGTGGAGAAGCAGCCGCGGGCCTTCGTCCTCAAGCTGGTCAAGTGGCTGCTGGTCGCTGTGCCCGCCACCTTCGTCAACAGCGCCATCCGCTACCTGGAGTGCAAGCTGGCCCTGGCCTTCAGGACGCGCCTGGTGGCCCACGCCTACGAGACCTACTTCACCGACCAGATCTACTACAAGGTGGTCAACATGGACGCCAGGCTGGCCAACCCCGACCAGTCCCTGACCGAGGACATCACCTTGTTCTCCCAGTCCGTGGCTCACCTGTACTCCAACCTCACCAAGCCCATCCTGGACGTCGTCCTGACCTCGTACACCCTCATCCAGACGGCCACGTCCAGGGGGGCCAGCCCCGTCGGCCCCACGCTGCTGGCCGGCTTGGTGATCTACACCACCGCCAAGGTGCTGAAGGCCTGCTCGCCGCGGTTTGGGAAGCTGGTGGCCGAGGAGGCCCACCGGAAGGGCTACCTGCGGTACGTGCACTCCAGGATCATAGCCAACGTGGAGGAGATCGCCTTCTACAGAGGACACAAGGTAAGGCGCGGCCGGCACGGGGCTATGAAACGGGAGCCCCTCGGCCGTCCTGCGCACAGGCCCCGCTCCGGCAGCTTGGGTTCCCGTGACATCCAAGCCGGGGCTGAAACAGGAGATCCCTCACCCTCCTTAATCACAAGCTGTTGAAGAATTATCGGGGGCAGACTTTTCTAAAACGTCAGCAGCCTGAAAATAGCCACCTTCGCCTTGGTTACCCAGACAGGCTCAGAATTCTCTCCAAACCCGTTTTCTTAAAACCTGAATCCTAGCCTAGGAGGCGGCCCTGCACAGGGGAAAACACGTTTGGGGACTGAGTGACTCCCAAGGAGATGGGGAAATCTAGGCTGGAACATTGGCTGTCTTTTCCGGGAGAAAAGACCTGCTTCCGCCGGGGAGACGGTTCCGCGACTGTGCGCGTGCGGTCAGTGTCAGGGTCTCTGCGTGCCGCTGGCGGTCTCTGACCGCCACTCCTCGCTGGCCACAGCGCCACCCCGACACGAATTTTAAAAGGGATGAACCTTTGTCCAGCTTGGGGGATGCTGAGAGTAGAGAGGAAAGAAACGGGGAGGAGGAGAGTTCCGGAACGTTGTTTTAAACTATTAAAGGATGTTGACATCGAAGCAGATCTCGGAAATCGTGTAATCAACTCAACTCACAGTCCACCAAAGCACCTTGAACGCGGTGCCTCAGAAGCGTACACAGATGACTTGGCACGTGAAATGTTGAGTTATCTTTTAATGATTGTGCTCGGAGACATGGAGTCGTTTCATTTTTGAAGCATCAGTAATTATCAAAAAAACGTTTCATCAGAATTCTCCCCTGAAGGACAAAATTTCAGGCGAGCTTAGGCCTCCCCCCCTCCTGTTAGTCGCAGCAGACATTGCATTTAGCATCGCTAGTTGTCCCTCTGGACTCCGCCTCAGTGATGTGAGTCCAGTCTGATGCCATGTCGGTGACCAGCTCAGGGAAGCCGAGGGCAGCCTGGCCCGGCACCCTGCAGCCTGGCCCCCTGACACGGCCGTGAAGGGTGCTGGCCTGGCCTGGCCTGCTCAGTCTCGTGGAGTATCGTTTAATTTTACATCTTACAGACACAGCTTTGAAATCATGGCCTGAGTCACTTATAGGTACTTTAGAGACAACATGTTCATTGATAGGCTAAGTTTTCCCAAAAATGATGGGAACCGTGACCCATCCTGACGTGACTCTGTGTGCTTGGCTGCTGGATGGCGGCGCCGTAGGTAACACTGTACAATGTAAAGCCCCGTAACGTGTACACACCTTTGTGGGTTTTGTTGTCACTTTTTTTTTGGTGTAGAAAAACTGGGGTGCAGGTCAGAGGTGCAGGGATGAGAGGACTCCCCAGAGACAGAGTGGGATGCAGAACGGGTGGATCCACTGAGATCCACTGCTGAGGGGGCAGCGAGGAGACAGGAGAGGTCTGCTGTGCCCTGTGGGCAGCTCCCTGGCTGGGAATGCACTCAGGCCCACACGGTGATAGCCTGACACTCAGCCCCTAGGCCCCAGGGGGCCCCAGCATGTACACATCCTTGAAGAAGCCTCTGGCCGTGAGGCTGCCTTCCCGAGCTCACCTGAGCTCCTCCTATTCCTTCCTCCTCTGCAGGTAGAAATGAAGCAACTCCAGAAAAGCTACAAGGCCTTGGCGGACCAGATGAACCTCATCCTGTCGCAGCGCCTGTGGTACATCATGGTGGAGCAGTTCCTGATGAAGTACGTCTGGAGCGGCAGCGGGCTGGTCATGGTGGCCGTGCCCATCATCACAGCCACGGGCTTCGCTGACGGCGGTAGGAAGCTGCGCCCGCGCACCCCTGCGTCTGCGGTGTTTCTGGGGCAGCGGCTCTGAGAGTGTGTGCGTGAGGCTGGGCATTGCCAGCTGCTGTGTGCTCAGCGCCTGGTTCCAAGCCACAGCCGGCTCGGCCCCATCGGGAGTCAGGGCGGCGACGAGGGTGGGGAGACTGGCTCAGGGACCCCTCCTCTGGGCTCCCAAGGACGCCTCTGCTGCGGGGTTTCTGGGAGCTCACCCCCAGCGACTCAGGGCATTGCCTGGCCCAGAAGGTGCTCTGGGCGACGTCCGGAGTCAAACCACCACCAGCCTGGCTTCCTTGCGGCGGCCCACGCCTGTGCCTTGAGCCCACGACCTGCGGGGCTGGATGCGCCTCCGCACGTGGTGTGGACGGCGGTTCCGCTCGCCAGACCCTGTTCTGGGGCTTCAGCTGGGGGTGAGGGCTCTTTACCCGTGGGTGATGCGGGTAGCCTGGCTGGGCTGTGCGGCTGGCCAAGTTGCAGGCTCTGTTGCCGGTTCCTCAGTGCTCCCGCCGTTCCACATCGCTGGGACAGCTAAACACGTGCGGGCATGGACGTTGTGAGCACGCGTGGGCCTGGATCGGGGTGTGGGCTGTGTTGGCAGCAGAGGGATGTCCCCAGGGGAGCACTTTCTGCTCTTCTTCCAAAATAAAGCCTCCCCAGCACACACACAAGCACAATACACACACACCACATGGTCCACACACACACCACACGCTCCACACACGCACACTGAAACCACTTAACCGGAACGGAGCTTGGCGTCACAGGAGACCCAAGCCCAGCTCTGTGCTGAGCCTGCTCTGCGGGCGCCTCAGCTTCCCCTCCTCCTGCCCGAGCCCACTCAGCCCGGCTTGCGACACCCTCTGGCTCGTGGCCTCACTAGGCCGCAGCCCCAGGGCCGCACAGGCAGGGGAGCCAGGCGCCCTGCACACCGGCAGCAGCTCTTCCAGAGGACAGAAGCGCCTCCAAGACCCCGCGCAGAGTCTGGGCTACTGCAGGGGCAGAGGTGGGGAGCCACGGGTGTTCGGGCCGGGGAAGAGGGACCTGGTCTGCTTTTGCTTTCAAATGGGTATTTGAAAAAGAATCTTTTTAAAAGTGGAAATTAAAGAAATCGCCAGCAGTGGTGCTGCTAACCTGGTCCTTTCGTGGTGAAATGACCTGCCCTCTCTAAAGAGCGCCAGGGAGAGGGAAACACAAACACGGCAGAATCTGTCGCCTTGAGTTTAGTTTTACTGAGAAGTTTGATGGAATCGTCCGCTGTTCATACCCATGTGAGTTTCCTAGACGGTGTTCTTTGGAGATGGTGCCTGTGGGGGAGGGTGCCCCATCTCGCTTCTGTTGGTGCTTGGAAGTCCCCGGAGGATTCAGCCCAGAACACAGAAAACGCAGCTATTAATGGCGGCAAACGAACCCCAGAGAGACCAGTGAGCGATAAACAAGGCAGGAGGGACCTGGCAGCGGCTCGGCTGCTGTGGGACGGCCGTTACAAGCGTGGCGGCGCCAAAAGGCCACGGCAGGTCCAGGGAATGGCCGGAGCTCAGGCCCCTTGTGCGGGCAGCGCCGGCCTCGCAGCTGCAGGAGGGAGCCCAAGTGGGGCCTGTGGGGGCGGGGCTGCGGGCTGTGCCCCACGGCCGATGGAATCTGGGGGGACAGGCCGGGCTGTGTGTCTGCTCTGGTCCTCCCGCGGCCACCTCTGGCCCAGATGACAGCTACAGGCCTGCCCGCCAAGAGGCCAGCTGTGCCCTGGTCAGCGGACAGCAAGGGGGCGCGAGGTGGACCCCAGTGCTGCGCCCACCGGCTGAGCTGGGGCTTAGCGGGGAAGGGGCTTCGGTCGCGTGAACAGCTCTGGGTGTCGGTGTCTGAGAGGCCATGACGCCTTCCTCTCCTCTGCTCTGGCGCCACATGACGACGGTCATTTCCGGAGGGTCAGGATCCCGAATTCTCAGTGTTGTTTTTCGTCTGTTCCCTGCAAGAGCAGTTCTGGGCAAGGCCAGGGCAAGCCAGGAGCGCCCGACGCTCGTGCGCCCGCCAGGCAGGGAAGGGGCGTAGGCCAGCCCGGTGGGGTCCCTGTGGTGGGAGGAGGCAGGCGGGGGCAGCAGCGGAGACGCCAGCAGGAAGGTTCTGGGGAGTCACTGCCTGGGGGGTCCTGGGCCGTGGCCCCATCTGGGCTGTGTCTGGCCCCTGCAGGCCTTGCCCGAGAGGCAGGCGCTCCTGGGCCCTGGCTTCTGCTCCCCCGTGGACTGCAGCCCGGCCCTGTGCGCCTGTGCGACCCCTGTCCAGCCTCCCGCTGTGGCTGACCCCGCAGCGCCTGGAAGGCCCCCGGGTCTGAGCCACATCGCTGGCCAGGCGCTCCCTGCACGCCTGTCCCCCAGTGCTGGCCGCGGCGGGCCAGTGCCGCTGTCATGGGGGCCCTGCACGCCAGCCTAGCCCTGCGGGCCACACTCTGACCTCTGTCACCTCCTCGGTGAGATGGCGGTGGTGGGACCGAGCTGCTGGGCACTTACCGCCAGCGGGCCCGGAGGTCAGCCTGGAATTGGGCAGGTACGGCTTGAATAGGAACTTGAACGAAGAGCTCCTGACAAAATATTTTACAATTCTGGGGAACAACGTGGCTGACCTGGGCCGGGGACCTGCCAGAGGACAGAGAGGGGGTGCCGGAGACGCACGCAGCGCTGCTGTTGCCCTCGCGTGTCCTGTGGGGGTGGAGAGAGCCGGCGGGCATGGCAGTAGGGCCTGTCCCCTGCCCCCTGCAGGCCCCTCTCACCCTGAGGTGCCGCCACGGTGACCGCATAGGTCAGCCAGCGCTCCCGGGGCCAAGTCTGTCCTCAGTGGTTGAGCGGCCGCCTGGCCTCTGGGTCCGAGGGCCTCTGGGTGGCCGGGCTGAGGGTCTCTGAAAAACACGCAGCCCCAGGGCCGCGCGGCCCGTCCTGCCGCGAGCGCATCTGGTCTCCGCAGCGGGACGTGATTTCCAAACCCTGTTCACTCCCGCCCAGGCCGCCCTGCGCAGCTGTGGGGACCTCTCGCCAGCTGAGCGCTGCCCGGGACAGAGCCCCAACCGTCTGTCTCTTCATTGATTTACCACATTTTCTAGAACTTTGCTCGTCGTCTATAAAAAGACAGACCGAGAATCGGACTGGCAGGGAGATGTCAGGCCTGGAGGGAACCGTCCCGGAGATCAGGACTGCGCTGAGGGGGACCAGGTGGCCGACGGTGGCAGGGACCGGGCAGTGCTGCCCATCGTTGGGAGGTGGGTGACCGGAGCCGTGGGCCGGGTGCTGAAGCTCCGCTAGTTTGCCTTCTGCTGCAGGCCCCACCAGAGCATGGGCTGCGCCGGGTGGTAGCCTTGGGCCCTCTGGGACGGGGCGAGGAGCTGACTGCGGGCGAGACTGAACTACGCCAAATGGAAACACTCGCAGAGCCTGTGGCCTGAGTTGCTGTGCGTCTGCGTCCAGCGAGAGCGGGGCAGCACCAGGGATGCGAGTAAAACCTCAGAACCCCGTCTTCTCAGACCCGTTCTGCTTCCAGGACGCTGTTGACGCGCGCAGAGTGGGCGCGGGGCTGTTGGGCCCAGGGTCTCTGCGGGAGCCTGCGGGGCTGGAGCTCACGCGCTGTTCTTGCTTGCAGAGCCGGGCAGCGGCCAGAAGCAGGCGATGGTGAGCGAGCGGACGGAGGCCTTCACCACCGCGCGCAACCTGCTGGCCTCGGGCGCCGACGCCATCGAGCGGATCATGTCCTCCTACAAAGAGGTACAGCGGGGCGCCCACCCTTACGTTCCCGGCTCCCGCCGTGCGTGGCACGTGGGCGATGCGCTGGTCGACGTGGTGACAGTGCGCTGAGGTTGGCAGTCGCCTCGTTCGCACACTCACGTGCCCACAGACAGGACGTCACTTCCCCTGGACTGTCCTCATGGCCGGTCACTCTGTGGCTTTTGCAGCAATAAGAAGTGAAAGTTCAGCCTGTTCGGTTGACCTCGGTCACTTGTGACCCGTGACCAAGCTTTTCAGTCTGATGCAGCGAGAGTTAACACAATGTGTTGGGCTTTTAAAAAAACAACAGAGACCGGTGAAGTCGGGCCGTGCACCGAGCAGATTCTTCTCAAACAGTGATTCTCTGAGCTGGAGACCGCGTTTGGGGTAGGGTTTTGATGTGGAAAATGAAATGAAAAATCAAAGCCATTGTCCTCTCACAGTGAAACACTTTGCTTCCTAAGCCACAGAAGGAACAGCTCCGGCCTGGAGCACCCACCCCCGCCCCCCGCCCCGGCCAGGGCACTTGGCCTTGTCCCCGCAGCGCTGCTGGGCTCCTGACAAGCTCGTCCCAGCATCGAGGCTGTGTCACGGGCCTGCCCTCCCCTGTGCTCAGAGGGGCGAGGCGCCCGTCTGCAGACGCCCCCTGCCCCGTGTCCCCTAGTAACCCGTCCACACCCCACTCCTCAGCCCCTAGATGCTCCGCACCGCCCCTGCCCACCCTGGGGCCCCAGCCTGGCTCTCGGCTGGATCTGCAGCCCCCTCAGGCGTTTTCTGCACCAACGTGTGGACCCAGTTTTCTTCTGAAGCCACATTCTGTTCACCCTTCGTCCTGTTCTCCTGACTTGGGACTCCGCCAAGCGCTGCTCCTGCGTGGTGTTGTGGAAATTGCCCATTAAGTCGCTGTGCAGGGCCCCCGGGGGTCAGACGGCAGTCTCAGGGCGCCCCTCTCGGCGCAGACCAGTGTGGGCCACAGGCGGTGTCTGTCCCGGGGCACGAGTTGCTTTGGGGCTTGTGCTGGAGGGGACCCCTGCTTCCCGGCCTCAGCCCCAACACCACTGCCCCCTGTGGGTGTTTTCTGGGGCCAAATTGGGAATTTTTTTTTTTAGTAAGCAGTGGGGTGCAGGCCAGAGTCACGGGGGGGTGAGAAGATTCACCAGAGAGAGTGGGGAGCAGAACAGGCAGATGTACCCAAACACACTGCCGAGGGGAGCAGCGGGGAGACAGGAGAGGTCTGCTGCGCCATGTGGGTTGCTCCCTGGCCGCAAAGGCCGCGCATACCCTCACAGCACTGCGCTCAGCCCCCTGCGCCATCAGGGAGGCCCCAAATTAGGAATTTTGACCAAAGAAATATTCGCGACCTAGAAATGTTCGTCACATAGCCAGAGAAATGTGTTTTCCTTCCATTTAACATACCTTCTTTTTCATCTTAAAAACATGTCAAATTAAATCATTTCATTGAATGAGCTGAAGTTTTTTACAAAGTTGCTAATTTTTTGGAAATAAGATTCGTCCCATAAACCAGACGTGAGGATGGGGCTGAGAGGTGTGTGGCTCTCACATTCCGGCCTGCAGACTTCGAGCGCACCTGCACGAGTGACCCGGTGCGCTGTCTCCTCTCACACCCCCAGGCCCAGGGGCCCTCCCGGGAGGTGTCGGCTGCGCGTGTTTGGGTAGCACACGGGGTGGGTGGGGTGCTTGTTCTGTGAGTGTGTGAAGAGCTGGGGGCCCCGGGCGCCCGACTGACTGTCTCTCCTGCTTGAATGCAGGTCACCGAGCTGGCAGGCTACACCGCGCGTGTCTACAATATGTTTTGGGTCTTTGACGAGGTGAAAAGAGGGATTTATAAGAGAACCACAGTCACCCAGGAGTCCGGAAACCAGCACAAGGGTGGGGGCGACGCAGAATCAACCCCCAGCCACCCGCTGGCCATCAAAGGTATCAGCCTGACGTCTCCGTGTTTCCTCCTGTTGACGTGTCTGTCCTCAGTAGAGCCGGCTCTGGGAAGCTGCTGTCCAGCAGGCACAGGGAGCTGACGCCCAGGTGTCCACACAGCTTCTCCTGAAGCTGCTGTTGCAAGCTGAGGGGTGGGGAGTAGCCCGGCCTGGGGCCCAGAGCTATTTCTGGAGGCTGCTCACGTGGCTGAGGAAATGCTTTGCTTTTAAGTTGAAGCAAGAGGGTTGGAGCTGATGCCACGTTGTTCCCTATCACCTCTGTCTCTCACCTGGAGACTGGGGCCTCCGTGGCGGCCTAGGGGTCGAGTCTCAGGCTGTCACCCCTACGGCCTGAGTGCGATCCCCGGCCAGGGAGTGACCCACAGGGCACAGCAGACTCTCTTGTCTCCCCGCTGCTCCCCTCAGCAGTGTCTTCGGTCCATCTGCCTGTTCTGCTCCCCGCTCTGTCTCTGGTGAGTCCACCTCTGGCCTGTACCCCAGCTCTTGTATGCAAAAAAAAAAAAAGATTTAAAAAATATCAGGAAGCTGATTTATAAAATAAAGAAACAAACTGGGGAAGGTCTGCGCAGTCTGAGAAGCCGTGCCGCGCCTGGGCCACCCCCCACCCCTTCAGGCGCCCAGAGAGCACGTGGGCCGCTAAGGCAGAGGTCAGCTTGCTCTCGTTAGGACATGGACATCCGATTGTTGCAAAATAGTGTTTCTGGGAAAGACTTTCCAAATAGGTATGTCAGAACGTCCAAGTTTGGGCTGACCTGTCCTTGCCCTGGGTGGGGCTGCTGCCGCCGCGATTCCCTGCGCCGCCCTGTGCTGCGAGGCCCCGACCAGGCGCCGCTGCCTCGTGGTGACGCCCGCGATGCCTCGGCTTGCAGGGAGAGTGGTGGACGTGGAGCAGGGGATCATCTGTGAGGACGTGCCCATCATCACACCCACGGGAGAGGTGGTGGCCTCCAGGCTGAACTTCCAAGTAAGACGCCATCCAGGGCCGACCTGGCTATTGTCCCCCGCGGCACACACTCAGGGCCCATGGCCCTCTGCTAAATGCTCAGAGGAGCAATGTCCAGGAGGGCCCGGGGGGCCCTGGCACAGGTGGCTCCTCCTGCAGGACGCAGACAGCAGGCCGCCCGGCCCGGCCCTGACAGCCCAGCCAAGGTAATAGGGAAACTGCAGGACGTTTCCTCAGAAAATTTACACCTGCAAACCCCGAATGTGATGTTTCTGCTCAAATATGAGGGCATCGGTCCTCAGCTTGCTCCTGTCAGCAAACACTCACGTTCTCTTTCCAGTGAGCACGTGTGCTGGCAGGAAAGCATCATCGCAAGTGTCTGGGCTGGAGTTTAGCCTTTAATTCAGGTGGTATTTAATGTTCTCTGTCTTGATGACAAAAATGAAGGTGTGAAGTGGCCAACAGACCCGAGGCCCTGATCCTAAAAGCCCCTTGAGATTCTGGTGCACCAGCACTCAGCCCCCTGGTGACCGCAGCGGCTCCCCCAGGGCAGGGCAGGGCAGGGCAGCAGGACCTCGGCGGCGAGCGTGTCCCGGGCTCCACAGCTGCGGTACTGGGTGGGCCATGGGCGCGCACGGGGACACTCTTAGTAGTGGAAGAGACGGGCCGGGCTTAGTCTTCCGGGTGAAGCCCCCAGGGGGAGTGACTGCAGTGAAAATTCTGGAAAGTGTTCATTCCAGGAGATCTGTTTTCTTTGGAAATGGACTGTTTTGTGATGCTCGTAGCCGCAGAGCACACCAGGCCCAGCCCGATGTCCACCACCGCCTGGTGTCTCCCTGGCCCTGCTGCCACCTGGCCTGGGTGCTGGCAGCCCCAGGACAGGCCGCGCTCCCCGTGCTCCCTGCAGGTCCGGGAAGGGATGCACCTCCTCATCACCGGCCCCAACGGCTGTGGGAAGAGCTCCCTCTTCAGGATTCTCAGTGGGCTCTGGCCTGTGTACGAGGGGACCCTCTACAAGCCGCCGCCCCAGCACATGTTCTACATCCCGCAGAGGTAGGTGAGCCACGCGGCCCGAGCAGGCTCCGTTTTTGTGAGGCCCTTGGCCTTAGCCCTCGGCTGCCTCCCTCGAGAGCGGCCCTTGCTGGATGGGGCTGCGCGTCCGCTCTTCCTGCCTGGCGTGGCCAGCGCCCGTCTCCACTGTGCTGCCCTCCAGGGGCGCCGGCCGGCCCTAGTGACCCCCGAGAGTCGTCTCCTCGGAGCCGGCCCTGGATGAGCCCCGGCCTCCCCTCCCGGCTTGCGAGCCGCGGCCGTTCCTCGTGTTCCGGAGCGTGTGTCAGACAGTCGCGGTGACTGTCGTCCCGCAGTGGACTCAGCAGCGCTGCCTTTATGGACAGCACGCGGCTCTGAGGGGAGCACACGTGGGCACATGCCCGGGCTTTGGCCGCAGACCTCGGGTGGCGTGAGTGGCTGAGCTCGGAGCCAGACCCGGAGAACGCGGGTGTTGGTTGTGGGCGAGAGCAGAGGGGCTCTGGGGAGACGCGGGCCTCCTGCTCCTCCGGCCACACCTCGTCCCTCTGCCTCAGCTGGGTCAGGGGCCCGCGGGCACCAGCCGGGCAGCAGCCCAGAGCAGGCGTCCATCTCCCGCCTGTGGGGCTGACTCACACCTCTTGCTTTTCCTCGGTGGAGAGTTCTCGCGCTCACTGTCCGGCCACCCATGCAGTGGGGTTTAGGGGAGGCCACGCAGTGTGGAGTGGGCGCTGCGGCCAGCGGTTGCAGCCTGCGGTGTCCAAGCCAGGGCCGCCTGCTCTGTGCACCCGCCGGGCAAGTGCATGCTGGGCCACGCTGGGGCCACATGTTCCCCCAGGGCCTGCTTGGAGCAAGACCCACCCATGGCCGGACACTCCCCCCCCCCTTTGTCCTAAGGAATCAGCAGCCCCAGGTCTGAAGCCGGGCCCGCCTGCTGCCCCAACCCCTGGCTGCGGAGTCCTCAGCCCCACCTTGGAGACCCCTTGGGGCAAGCGCCCAGTCTGAGGAGCTGAGCCTCCGCAGTGCCCTTCTTGTTCTCTTTGTCAGAGACATTCTGATGTGATGACGCTCGGTTCCCTGGCTCGGGGGCAACTTAGATTCTGTGTTCAAAATCCCGCGTGGCTGGGTCCCGTGCACACGCAGAGCCGGAGCGCCCGGGCGCGGGAGTCGGCGTTCCCTCTGAAAGCGGTGCCTGGTACATTAGAAAATAATCTAAGTTAGTTTGCGAACCTCTTCCCAGGAGCGTGTGCTCAGCCTTCCAGGCCGAGGAGCAGAGCCAGAGCCACACGGTGAGAGCGAGCGTGGCGTAAGGAGAAACTGAGCGAGTGCATGAGCGGCAGCAAGGCGAGGGCGAGCCGGGCTCCTGGGACTCCCCCGCGCGGCTCCCATGTGCCCCACGCAGGCTTCTTCAATAATTCAGTGGCGTGCAAGGGAATGGAAACACCTTTTCCTAAAAATGCACTTTCAGTAATTAGCAGTGGCCGTGCCCTGCAGGCGGAACCGTTGTTGCCCCCTGAGTGTGCTGAGAACACCAGGAGGGGGGGGGGTGATGCTCCTTTTCTCGGAGGAGCTCAGCCTCGACTCCCCGCTCTGGGGCCTGGGGCCGCCCGTCGCCGTGGCAACGCAGCGCTTGCTGCTGGCTGTAAACAGCCGTTAGTGTAGTTAATATGGCAGGGACTTTTTTATCAAGCTTGTGCCCAATTAAACTCAGACAACTGTAAAATATTTAGTATTTTGGGCGATTGTTTCAGAGATCCCAAGCGCAGAGACAGAGCTGGCCTTTCTCGGCACTTTTCTCTTTTTTATGCCTTTGTCCCTGTTAACCAGAAAACAACGCAGAAGCACGTGGACATGAGCCAGCCAGCTCGGGGCCTTCTCCCAGCACAGTCCCGCCCGGCAGGCTCGCGAAGAAGTGGGGAGTAGATGCAAGTCACTGGAGGCCCCGCAGACTTTTGTGATCTAAGGAAATACCCACTAGAATGACTTTGCCCTCAAATATGCTCATTTTAATCTTAGTATTATAGGAGTTTTAAACAAGATACACTTGAAGGAATCCCAGATTACAAAGGAAAACTGTTACAGTGACCGTTTAGATAACAACCGTCTGACTCCCGATGTGCCCTGTGGCTTATTCCAGCATCTTGGCCACAGTGAGGGGGGGTTCTGGGCCCCACTTGGGGCTCCTTGAGGCAGGGACCCCAGAGGCAGGGCCTCGGCCTCAAGTTGGCAGTGGCTGCGGCCCTCTGGGAGCAGAGCAGGAGCTGCTTACACGGCAGTGATGGTGCTGCCCGTGGGCCTAGAGGCCCGTCTGAGCAGCCGCCGTGTCTGGAAGGCCCAGTCGGGGCGCTGTCAGCACTGATGGATCATGGTGACTCGGGAGGGCTAGGGAGACCTGAGCTGGGACAGCGTCCCCAGGAGCTGCCACCTCTGCTCTCGCTGCCTGGGCGGCCCTGTACGCTTCAGGTTATTACTTGGGGGATTTATCTTTGGGGTAAATCCCTGCGAGGGGCTAGGGCCCGGGATCTGTGGCAGGCCCCTGGGAGGGTGTCAGCCTCCCCGCTTAGGGGCCGGTGAGCCCGCATGGGCCGTGGGGGGACTCGGCGTCTGGGGCTGCACTTCTGTTGGTGTGGGTGGTCTTCTGAGAGGGTGGGGCTGCACTGCACGGCTGGGCCTGCGCCCCCAGTCACCATCTAGAGGAGACGCAGAAGCAGGTGCAGCCAGCGGGACGAGGCGGCAGGCATCTCCTCTCCGAACCCCGCAAGAACAGGCCCCTGTGCCTGCAGAACCTGAGGGCAGTGGTGGCTCGCCCTGCACCCCGGGTACCCAGGCCGTGGGCAGAGTCTGTCCTTCCTCTTCGCAGGCCCTACATGTCCCTGGGGAGCCTTCGGGATCAAGTCATCTACCCCGACACACAGGACGACATGCGGGAGAAGGGCCTCACCGACCAGGACCTGGAGCGCATCCTGCGGGACGTGCACCTCTTCCACATCGTGCAGAGGGAAGGAGGTAGGCGCTGCCCCGCGCTGAGGCGCCCGCAGAGGCCGGCGGTGGCGGCGGGAGTGGAGCTCAGCGGGCGGTCCCCGGCTGCCCCCGCTCTGTGAAGCGGCTGCGGGCCGGGCCACCTGGGCGTCTGAGCCCCGGGACAGCACCGTGTGGCCTGCATGACGCCAGGGTCCTCGCCCCCCAGGCATCAGGGCCATGCAGGCAGCGGCAGCCCTTGTCCCACCTGAGGCTGCACTGGCGTGAGCTGCCAGCCTAGCTCTGGGACAGCCCAGCGCCCGTGCTCCCGCCAGGCTCTGCCCCCCAGACTCCAGCGAGAGCCGAGGGCCCTGAAACGGCGCGGTAGGGGACACCCTCTTCAGCCTTCAGAACTCATCAGGGCGCGTGCTCAGGGAAGTGCTGGGATCCGCCAGTCTGACAGAGCCGTGACCTCCCCTGGAGAAGGCCCTGCCTGGAGGCTGGGGGAGCAGCAGCCCGGCGGGGCCGGGCCAGCCCACGGTGCCCACAGCCTCCTGGGCCAGCGGGTCAAGCTCCTTTCCTTTGGCCCAAAAGCCTCGCCCTCTACTGGCTCAGGCAAAGTTATTTTGAGCCCAGGGTGTTTCGGCACCCACGGGCCTCACCGTGGGCCTCAGACATGACAAATCCCATCAAAGGGAAAACTGTCTCCACAGCCTCCACGGGAAGCGAGGGTGTCATGTAAGGCGGCAGGTTGAGACGGTTCCCCTGCAGGGAAAGTTACAAGGATGTGATTTCCAGGAGGAGGCTCCGCGCGTGTGCTGAGGAAACCGTGGCTCCCTAGAGAGCGTGGGGGGTCCCCTTCCCTCCCACACCGGGGCGTGGGGGCACCGGCTGGGTCCCTTTCCTTTGACCAAGTTTCCTGAGAAATCAGAAGAGAGGTGAGCGTTCAGCTGAGGCAGAAAGGGGAGGGCCTGGCCTGGGCCCCTTCCAGGCGGCTGGACGCTGGGTCAGCGCGGGCCTGGCCGAGGCTCCATGACTTTCTTGGAGAATCTGGCTTGGCCTGGGCCTGTTTCTGCTCTTTCCAGCCCAGAAACTCCCCAACTTGCCGTCTTTCTGACAGGGCCTCTTGTGTCTGCAAGTAACCTCTCCCCCATGACACAGTGAGGGCGGGCTGTGAGAACCATGCGATGCTAACAAAGATGACACAAACGTGTAACTTAGAAAACCCGAGCAGGTGGACACGGGCCTCTGGAGACACTGCAAGACTTTTTTTTTTTTAAAGGTTTTATTTTATTTTTGTTTTTTTTTTTTTTTTTTAAAGAGGCATGTATTTTTATTTATTTATTTATTTATACAAGCACTGGGTACAGTCAGAAGCGCGGGAGGGTGAGAGAATTTACAGGAGCCAGAGCAGGGAGCAGAGCAGGCAGAAGGACCGAAGGACACTGCTGAGGGGAGCAGCGGGCGGCAGGAGAGGTCTGCGCGCCATGTGGGACCCTCCCCCGGTGGCCGGGGAGCAGCCGGGGATCGAACCGGCGCTTCAGAGGCTGCGGGCAGCTTCGCAACCCAGCGCTCAACCGCTGCGCCACCAGGGAGGCCCTTATTTTATTTTTGTGTAGAAGAACTGGGGTGTAGGCCAGAGGTGCGGGGGTGAGAGGACTCCCCAGAGACAGAGTGGGGAGCAGAACAGGCGGATCCACTGAAATCCACTGCTGAGGGGAGCAGTGGGGAGACAGGAGAGGTCTGCTGCGCCCTGTGGGCAGCTCTCTGGCCGGGATCACACTCAGGCCACAGCAGTGACAGCCTGAGACTGACCCCTGGCCCCCAGGGAGGCCCCAAAAACATTTTTCAAGGTGTCAGTATTTTGAGTTCTGAGGGGCGGCCCGTCAGGACTAGGAATTGTGCCCCCCAGAGGGCGTCCAGGGTGCTCCCCGCAAGGTGAGTGAGTGTGCAGACGTGCCGTGGGCCACGTGGGGCTCTCAGCTCAGGGCCTCGACTGCGGCTGCCTGTGCGGGGTGCCCCTGAGACGCGTCTGTCCACAGGCTGGGACGCCGTCATGGACTGGAAGGACGTGCTGTCAGGCGGCGAGAAGCAGCGCATGGCCATGGCCCGCATGTTCTACCACAGGTAGGGCCTCCTTGTAATCGCATACCCCGTCAGGTGACAGCCAGGGCTGGCTGGTTTGATCCATTGCTGGTGCTAACGTAAGAGTACGTAGCGAAAGCCCAGGTCAGTGGCTTTGGTGAACACCCACGTTGAATGACGGACACCCCAATCCAGACCACACTCCTGCCACCCGGGGGAGTCCCTCATCCCCTTTGCGATCAAAGAACCCCTTACGTGATTTCTCTCCTGATTTCTACCACCCCAAAGTCATTCCCCTGCACCCCAGCCTCGCATAAGCCCCCATGTGGAGCATGTCCTCTGCCTGGGCCTCAGGGGAGGGCTGTGCTGCTCTCCGTGTGCCTCACCGTTGTGCGGCCCGAGAAGGCGCAGGCCAAGTAGAGCGCAGGGTCTGCCAAGCCGGGGCAGGGCCGGGACACCCCTTTCGAGCCTGCGTTTTCAGCGGCCGCGTCCCTCAGCGTCCGCAGTTAGTCGGCTCACACCGGGTCGCAGCTGAGTCTCCCCACCTGCCCCCACCATGTCTGAACTGTCTCCACTCCCCTCTTCGGTCGGCCACAAGGCCGCCCTGAGAAGCTGCTCTAGACCGGCTGGGCCCTGCGTCTGAGCCTCGCCAGGGAGCCTGGCCCCATGAGCCGCCCAGGCCCTGGGAGGGCTGGCCTATGTGCTCTGGGCCCAGTGCGGCCACGGCGGCTGCCCGCCTGACCGGTCCATGTTTGCTTTCCCAAGGCCCAAGTACGCGCTGCTGGACGAGTGCACCAGCGCAGTGAGCATCGACGTGGAGGGCAAGATCTTCCAGGCCGCCCAGGGCGCCGGCATCTCCCTGCTGTCCATCACGCACAGGCCCTCCCTCTGGTGAGTGACCCCGCCGGACGGCGCCTCCATGGCCTGCACCCTCCCGCCACGCTCTGCAGGAGCCACGCTCAGGCCGGGGCCCTGGCCCCCTCGGCCCCGGGAACAGAGCTGACGCGCTTCAGTGGCTCCTCCCGGAGATAGCGCTGGCTCAGGCCCTGCCACGTGTGCCTCTCAGGTGCCGCCCTCGCCGCCCAGAGCCCCGTACACGCCTGCCCTGGTGGCACGTTCCCGGGGCAGGGTCAGTGCCGGCGCCTGCAGGAGGCCTGCCAGCAAGCAGGCTGGTTTTTTTTAAAGATTTATTTGTTGATGCATAGCAGAACTGGGGTGCAGGCCAGAGATGGGGGGGAGCGAGAGGACTCCCCAGAGACGGTGGGGGGCAGAGCAGGCGGATCCACTGAGACGCACTGCTGAGGGGGCAGCGTGGACGCCAGAGCCTCCTGCAGCTCCGCGGGTGGAGGCACCCGCAGAGCTGGTTCAACACACCGCAGACTTAGCTGCTGAGAGGTCGCGTGCGCAGTGGCCGTTCCCAAAGGGCGTGTGCCCCGGGCCCCGCTGCGGCGCGTCCTTTCCACCGCTTTCCCCTCAGCAGCCCTTTCGTTTCTGCGCCTCCCTTCGCAACCACCACCCCCGCCCCGTCCCATCCGGGGCTCGCTTGGGGCCTTTCTGGCTGTTCCAGTGGGTCCAGTCCATGCAACAGTCAGAACACAGAACACACTTAACCCAGGAGCAGAATTCTCTGGAGATTAATGACATTTGTGTTAAAAATCACAATCGTTGCCTCTGGGGAGGTCGCTGCATCGGTGAACCAGACGAGCAGCGGCAGCGGGGCCAGGGCCGGGGCTGACGCGTCTGTCTGCCGGCAGGAAGCACCACACACACCTGCTGCAGTTCGACGGGGAGGGCGGCTGGCGCTTCGAGCAACTGGACACGGCCACCCGCCTGACGCTGAGCGAGGAGAAGCAGAAGCTGGAGGCCCAGCTGGCCGGGATCCCCAAGATGCAGCAGCGCCTCAACGAGCTCTGCAAGATCCTGGGGGAGGACTCGGTGCTGAAAACTGCCCCGGAAGTGGAGGGGGCCTGCTAGCCCGGCCGGGCGGGCCTGCTCACGCCAGACTGCCTCCTGGCCTTGGGGGGTGCCGGCCCGACTTCAGCAAAAATAAACAGATGCACCGCGTCCCGTTAGTCATCGCGGCTCCCGCTGGCGCGGTGAGAGCCCCACTCGCTGTCAGTGGGTCTCTGGGGGAGCATGGGGAGCGCGGTCGACCCGAGTGGATGCGTCTCAGCCGCAGAGGGGTCTCCTCTCGGGAGGGAACCGGCTCAGCCCAGCGGCCGCAGGGACTGGGCACGGGCTGTCGGCCCTGCTGGCCGCTCAGCTGCTGGAGTCCCCTCCTCTTGCTGGGGGGGCACAGGCCTGCCCACGAAACAGCTGGCAGGCCGGTCAGTGTTTCCAGGTGAAAGGTTTGTCCAGGGCGGGGCGTGGGCAGGGCAGGGGCGGGGCAGGCCAGGGCTGTCTGCATGAAGCACCACCTCTGACTTAGAGCGAGCGTCTGCATGTGAGCACAGAGCAGCTTTAAGAAGAATCTCGCGTGTCGGTCATTCGCCCTCCTGTGGCCCACAGACACCCCCAGAGGAGCACAATCTGCCCAGATCAGGTCACGCTGCAGTCAGCAGCCCTGGGCCGGGCGGGCCTCGGGTGGCCGGGCCTGGCGTCCTCCCGGCTGCAGCTGGCCACCCCCGCCGAGGCCGCGGCTGAAGTGGGCCTGCGAGTTTGGCAACGGCTGAGCCCGTGAGCTCTGCTTGGAAGAGATTCTTGATTCCATAACCCCAGAAAAATCTGTTACCACTGGGCTCACACCCAGAGCCGTCACGCCCGGGGCGGTGATGAGTTGGTGGAACAGGCCCCTGGGCAGCGGCGCTGGCGTCCACCAGCAAGCCCGTGGGGGCAAGTTGAGTTGCACTTGCAGAAAACCCCGTGACAGCGCCCCCTCGGGGCTCCCCGACCTCTGCACGCAGGCCCGCTGGCCCCTCCTGCTGTGACGCGTCCCTGGGCCCTGGCTGCCCGCGGTCAGGGGCAGGGGGGGACCCCGTCCTCTTGGGTTGTGTCCCCTCGGGCCCTGGGCCGGGAGTTGTGTCTCAGGTGGCAGCCGCCAGGGCCTGACCTGGGCTGTTCTACGGGGCGCCCCTTGCGCCCCGGCCGAGGGGCCTCCTCCAGGGCTGGTCCCTCGCTGAAATGGGACTGTCCCCCTCGCCAGGTCCCCCGGCCTGTGCCTCTGTCCTGCCTGGGCCGCCACAGCCCAGGGGCTCCCGCCCTCCTTGCCAGCAGCTCGGTCTCCTCTGGCGCCCAGGGAGGCCTGCGCGCAGCATCCAAGTCGGGGCCACGACGGCCGTGACTAACTCTGTCCTGCCTCTGCTGGGCCCTGGTGAGGAGACCAGGTGTTGGGGGGCTCCCCATACCGCCCAGGGGCCTCGAGTCTAGGGACGCTACTGTCCCACTCTTCTGTGGTCGGGTCGGCCACGGGCTCCTCGGCCTCCCGGAGACCTGGCCAGGCCGGCCCGTGCACAAGGGGCTCCTGCGGCGGGTGTGGCTTGTGCGGGCAGGTCAGGCCTTATTGGAAGCACCCACGAAGGCTGGGCATGACCTTCTTGCCCAGGTGCCGCCTGCCAGCACCCCATGGAGCCCCTGTGGGACGTGTCAGAGTGGGCGGGCGGGGGAGGAGGCAGAAGCGTGTGTCGCGGGCGGGAGCGTGCTGGGACAGCTCACCCAGCAGGTCCAGAGATGCCCTGGCTTCCGGAGTCGCCACTGCGCGGGCAGCCTCCCGTGGGCCTGTCGGGGCTCGCGCAGAGCAGGGTGGGCACGGGCAGATGGGGCAGGCGCTGGGGGAAGAGCAGCCGGTGTGAGCGGTGAAGCTGCCTGCCCGGAGGGAAGCTGCATTTCCGTGTCTCCTGGTGGGTGGCGGGCGCAGGGTCTGGTCTCTGTTACTAAACAGACCGTGCGCCCCGAGGTGGCTGTGCGGTGGGGTCTGCATCTGTAGATTTAGATTCTTGATTGATAACTTCTAACAGGATCCCAACAGGCCGTTTCCAGGAGGGGTGCCTGGGTGTGGGTGCGGGGGACGCCCCTCCTGTCTTAGAGCGGGGGGGGGGCGTCGGGGTGCGGCGTGCTGAACCCTGAGTTCCTCGGGTGTGTAGACACGGACGGCTTCCAGCTTGCTGGATGTGACTAAGGCGGAAACTCAGACGGGCACGAGGCCTTTCAGACCCGAGAGGACACGTTTTGACTGAACGTGCGGGTTCAGTTTGGACGTTAAGCTGCTGGCGTGAATTAAGGTGACCCGTGGAAAGGGAGGGGCCTGTTCGCCCTCGGGTCTTTTCTTTCCAGAGGGCTCAGGGCCGCCGCCTTGATGAGCAGACGGCGGGCGGCGGCGGGGCTGGGGGGCCGCTGACTGTGGGGCGGGCCCCGCTGCTGCTTCCCCGAGCGCGGGTCTCGCCGCCTGCCCCGCGGGCCCGCGCTCCTGTCGGGCCGGCTCAGGCCCCAAATGACAAAGCCAGGGCCGCCCGCGGCGCAAGGGTGAGGCCGCCAGCCGCCAAGCGGCCCCGGCCTCCGCAGCACGAGGCGATCCCCGGCCGGGGCGGCCGCAGGGCGCGGCGGACCCTCCTGCCCCGCGGCTGCCCTGGGCGGGGTCCGGCGGCTCCGCCTGTCCGGCCCCGCTCTGGGTCTGGGGAGCCCCCGCCCCCCGGCTCCTGCGCGCACAGCTAAGCGACGCTTCCTGAAAACAAGAAACCAGACGAGGGGGGCCCAGCGGTCGGACGGTGGGGGGGGGGGCCCGCCGGGAAGGCGTCCCTGCGGCCCGACCCCGAGAGCCGCCCGGGCGGGCTCGTTCCCGCGGGCCGCGTCCTCCCCGGGCCGGGCGGACACGCGCTCCTCGGCCGGGCGGACGCCGCGGCGGGTCACGGGGCAGCCGGGCCGGGCCTGCCCGCAGAAGCCGGCGAGCGGCCGGAGGGGCAGCGGGGCCAGCGGGGCCAGCGGGGCGGGGCCCGGGGGCGGGGCCCGGGGGCGGGTCAGGGGGCGGGGCCCGGGGGCGGGGAAGGGGCGGGGAAGGGGCGGGGAAGGGGGCCGGGGGCGGAGCGGGCGGGGCCCGAGGGGCGGGGCGCGGCGGGGGCGGGCAGGGAGGGGCGGGGCCGGGGGGCGGGGGGCGGGGCGGGCGGGGCCGGGGGGCGGGGCGGAGGCGCTCCGCGCGGATGGACACGGGGGGGGGGGGACCTGCGCCCCCCACCTGTCCCGGGGACCCTCCCGACGCCGGCCCGCGGGGCGCAGGCGGACGCGGGCGCGCCCGGGCACGAGCACCCGCTGCGCCGCGAGGTGGGGCGGAAGCGGGGCCGCAGGCTGCAGCGGCGGGAACCTGCTGCCCGCGCGGGGCCGGGACGGCGCGAGGACGCGGGCGCTGCGGGACGCCGGGCCTGGGGGCGGGGCGGGCGCGCGGGGCGGGGCCAATGGTTTAAGGGCGGGGCGGGGCCCAGGGCCGGGGGCGGAGCCCAGGGCCAGGGGCGGGCCCGTGGGCGGGCCCCAGGGCGGGGGGCGGGGCCCATGGCTGAGGGCGGGGCCCAGGGCTGGGGCGGGGCCAGGGCTGAGGGCGGGCCCCAGGGCGGGGGGCGGGACCCAGGGCTGAGGGCGGGGCCTAGGGCTGGGGGGGGGGCCCAGCGCTGGGGGCGGGCCTAGGGCTGGGGGCGGGCCTAGGGCTGGGGACGGGGCCCACGCTGGGGGCGGGGCCTAAGGCTGGGGGCGGGGCCAGGGCTGGGGGCGGGCCCGGGCCGGCGCGGGGGGGCGGGGCCCGGGCGGGAGGGCAGAGCCGGGCTCCGCCCCTGGTCCCGGCCCTGTCCCGCCCGCGCCCCCCTGGCTGGGCCTTCCCGGGGCGCGGGGCGCGGCCGGTCAGCGGGTCCCGTGGCCGCCCCGACCTCGCGCCCGGCCCGCCGCCCTCCGGCCCCGCCGGCCCCGCCCTCGGCCGGCCCCGCCCACGGCCCGTGTCCCCGGCCCGGGTCCCGCCGCGCGGGGCGCGGGGCGCGGGGCGCGGGGCGGGCGGGGGGCCGCGTCCTGCGCACGGGGCGGCCGGGCCGGGGCCCCCGCGGGGCCTGAGCCGCCCCCGACGGCCTCCCGCCGGCGGCCCCGGCGGGCCTCTGGCCCGGGCCCGGGGGCGGGGCCGGCCGGAGCCCGCGCGGCGGCGGCGGGGCAGGAGGGGGCGCGGCCGGCGCGGGGGGCGGGGGTCCCTGACGCGCGGACGCGGGGCGCGGCCGGCGGGCTCCGCGGGGACCCCGCTCAGAACAGCCCCGGGGGGCGCGGGGAGCAGGTTCCCGGGGCCGCGCGTCTCCGGCGCGGTCCTGGAGGTCGCGCGTCCCGGAGCCGTCCCGCCGCCCGGCGAGGCTCCTCCGCCGGCCCCGGCATCCGGACGCGGGAACCGGGCGGCGCTCCTGGGCGGCCCCGCCGGCCCCGTCCCGGACGGCCGCCCGCGCCCCGGCTCTGCCCGCCGGCCTGGGGCCTCCGCGGTCCGGCCGGAGCCGCCTCGGCGGCAGCGCGGGGTTTGCTGCCACGCTCGGCTTCCCGGAGGCGCCCGGAGGGACCGTCCTCCCCGCCCGCCGCTGCCGCTTCCCGCGGGCCCCTGGCTGCTCCCGGCTTCTCTGGGAAGAGCAGCTGCCCTGACTCTCCGAGGGCGATTCACAGCATCTGAAGGTTTTCACAGCATCTGAATAGTCACCAAGTAGGAAAAGAGAAAACGTCTCGCACTAGAAATAAGTCCCATAATATTGAAAACAAACAAAAGACACTGTGACGAAAAGGTGTGCGTAGCTCAAAGCTTTTTTTTTAAAGATTTATTTATTTCTGCACACAAGAGCTGGGGTGCAGGCCGCAGGTGTGGGAGGGTGAGAGGACGCTCCAGAGACAGAGTGGGGAGCAGAACTGGCGAATCCACTGAAACCCACTGCTGAGGGGAGCAGCGGGGAGACAGGTCTGCCGCACCATGTGGGTAGCTCCCTGGCCGGGGATCGAACTCCTGCTGCAGAGGCTGCGGACAGCCTCATAGGTTGCGTCTTAACTCCTTGCGCCACCAGGGAGGCCCCAAAGCTTTATTTTTTCACCCTATTGCAAGTCCTTAAAAGAAAAGCCATTATGGAGCCAAGCTGGTACCGGGGGCCTGGGCACCCCAGCTGAGCGCAGCAGCCACTGGTCGGCAGGAAAGAGATCAGGGCTAGCCAGCAGGACAGGATGCTCAGCTGCGTGGGCACCGATCCCACCTGCAGGGCCTGCCCCTCCAGCCAGTGCTAGAGAGTGGCCTTGGCCCCAGTGACAAGGACACAAAGTGCAACAAGATTTCATCTGCCCAGCGAGCTTGTACTCTAGGTGCATGAGCTCCAGGACAGGGTGGTGTTGGCGCTGGCCCTGACCTCCAGGGAGAATCTTCAGTGGGGGTCTGTTGTTCATAGGGACTCTCGGCCCCTGGCACAGGTGTGGGCAGGTGAGGAGGCCTCCACCTGGCCGCGTTGCATCCAGAGAAAACGCCAGAAGAAAATGGGACAAGGCGGGTCTGGCGGGGCCTATGGGCTGGTGCCCAGAGGGGTCCTCACAGCGGCTTCTGGGAGGACTTGCCTGGACAGGCGCCTCCAGAACCAGGTCTGCATGGAGCGGTGGCCTCCACCTTCCATCTGTTCACTAGCAGCAGCAGGAGGAGCAGACAAGCTCGTGAGAACATGGCAGCCAGAGGAGCACAGCGCACACGGCCTGGGGGCACATGGCCTGGGGGGCGCACGGCCTTGGGGAGCACATGACCTAGAGAGCACATGCCTGGAGGGCGGAGGGGACAGTAGCCACACCTGCTGCCTGGACCCCTTCCTGCGACCCGCTGGACTGGATGTGACCCCAGGTGTGCCAGACAGGTGCAGTGGCAGCATCGGCCCTGCCTTCCCAAAGGTGGCATCGACAGAGATATTCCTAATAAAGGAGCTGTTTTCCGCCCATCTGCTGAGCTGGTCCCGTGGTCCCAGCATGAGAACTGAAGTGCTTTTAGCCCGAAATAACCCGGCCGGGGAGACTGGCCCCTCCTGGGCAGGAAAAGCTGAGGTGGTGCCACCATCGCGCTGCCCGGCCACACTGTCCTGGCTTCCCGGTGGGCCCTGCGCCACTGTGGGGGCGGGCGGCAGGGACAGGGCAGGGCCGCGCCTGCTGGGACAGTGTCCATGGGAGGGGACACCAGGAAGCAGCAGGGCTGGGCCGGAGGGACACAGTGACCTGGGCAGGATGCCCTCCTGCTGGCTGCCCCCACATAACCCGTCCCCTGGATCTGTGCTTGCTCGGGGTGGCCTGATGAGGCTGGGGCACGAGGGGGCGCGGAGGACACGGTGCCCCCTCCCGCACCCGGGCACGAGGCTGTGACGCAGCGGGGGTCACCTGCCTGAGGCGGCCCTGACCCCTGAGAGCCACACCACACTCCCTGGGGCGGCCCCCGGGCACCGCGGGCCGCCCCGCTCCACACGCGGGCCGAGGCAAGGGCGGCAGCTGCACTGTCTCCGGGGCCGGGAGCTGGCAGATGTGGGCCTGGGGAACAGCTGGCACTCGGTGTCCCTCTGGCCTGACCCTCGCTAGGGAGGGTGACATCCGCAGCGGGTGTGGACACCAGGACCCCCTGAGTGACACACTCTGTGTCCGGAGCCGGCCTCCCACACACGCCACGGCCACGAGCGGGGCCACTAACGCGAATAGTCAGAAAATGACGCAAAACAGATAAAAGAGCAGCTTGGGAGTGGGGTGGGGTGGCCGCCCCTGCCACAGGGGCCTCCTGGGGGCCGGGGGCTGCAGGCATTCGGGGGTCTCTGAGAGGGAACATTGAGCTGATGCCCAAAGAGCAAAAGGAGCCGAGACGGGAACATCTGGGGGGAATGTTCCAGGTGCAGGACGGCTGGCGCTGGGGCGGCTGTGTGGGCTGATGGTCCACCGGGGACCCCGCTCTGAGCTCCCGTCCATTTCTCTTACTGCTCTTGGGGATTTTCAGGCTTGTGTCCGTGCACTAGGCTGTAAACTCCTGTGATCAACGATCCTAACCCTCTCTGTGACAGGGGGCCCCCAGGAAAGGGGGGGTCCAGGTCCATGCCCCCCCCCAGGGAGGTGGAGCTGAGCAGGGGGAGAAGCTGGAGAGGAGCCGGGAGGAGGAGGGTGGGGAGGGAGGAGCCCGGGGAGGACGCGGAGCGGAGACGCGTGAGAAGCCGCGGGGCCTTCCCGGCCCTGGACGGTCGGGACGGACGCGGGCCCCAGGGCGGGACGGGGCAGCTCGCACCTGGATTATGAGGTTGCTCTTTTCCTCCCGGACGCGCCGGCCCCCGCTGCCCCTTTCCCGCGGGTCCCCAGGAGGGGCCGTAGACCGGGGCAGGCTCTCGGGCCTCAGACTCTGGTCCTCCCTGGTTGGGCTGGACATTTACCCACTGGGGAGGGTGGCCCGGGTGCCAGGTCTGGAGACCCGTCCCCCTCCCGTGCTGCGGGCTGATGCGTCGAGTCCCTCCCCACTCAGGTCTTCGCACCAGAGCAGGTTTCGCCCTGATGCGGCAGAGCCCCTGCAGAGTGGGCAGATGGGGGTTCCCGGGCCCCTCACCCGCCCTGGAGCATCCCCGAGTCGCCCGCACACTGCGGCCAGCCTCTGACCCCGAGCTTGGCCCCAGGCTTGTGGAGGAATCACTGGACTGGGCTGCCTGTGTGGGAAACCCTGCCCTGGGGTGTTTGCCCTGGGCCCGGGTAGGAGGTGAGGACGGTCCGGCTGCAGGAGTCTGGGTGAAATTCAGAGCCGCCGACCTTACAGGGTCGGGCGGGAGCTGCCCGGCCGGGTGTGGCCCGAGTGTCAGCAGCCTCTGCCGGCTCAGGCACTGCGGGGACCTGGCCGCAGCGGTCACCGGGCTGCCGCCTGCACCGGGACGTCCAGCCTGGCGTTTGGGGATGAGCATTGGCCGGAGACAGGTTTCAGTGCTTTGTGCGGTTTGTCCGCACGGTGCTGCGTCAGTGGTTGATGTTTGAAGCGAAGGGTTTTCCCCACGGAGGTCTGACTTTTCTCTGGAGAAGCCGCGGCGCAAAGCGGAGGTAGGCCCGGCAGGGCGGGTGCCCCCTGGGGACCCCGCCAGCGCCGCCCAGGCCCAGGCGCCCTGTCTGTCCACCCCGGGGCCTCCCTGCCCTGGGACGCGGGGTGCGCGGCAGGCTGGGTGCACATGCACCCGAGCTGCTGGGGAAAGGCCTTAAATTGCACGAGCGTCTGTCCAGCCGGCTGTGCGGCGTCCGGGCATGCCGCGCGCTCCCGCGGGTGCGGACACCAGCAGCTCAGGTGGGCAGGGCGGCCCCGCCGCAGGGCAGGCGGGACAGGCTCCCAGCCCAGAGCGCCCGGCTGCCCGGCCGGCCGGAGGCCCCACCTGCGCGGCGCCCTGTCCCCGCCTGCCGGCCTCCCTGGGCCGGGCCTGGGTCTGCCGCGGGCGCCGGGGTGCGCGGGCGCCGGGGTGCGCGGGCGGGCGGGCGGGCGAGGCCTTCGGAGCGCGCGGCCACTCACGGGCCTGCCGGGCCGGCGGCGCACAGAGGACCCCGCGGCCCGCGAGCCCCGCCCCGAGTCCAGGGCCGGGGCCGGGGCCGGCCCGCAGGGGAGCGAGCGGCGGGCGGGGGCGGGGGGGGGGCGGCGGGGCCGGGCGTGCCGGGCGGCACCAGGCGCAGCGCGGCGGGCACAGAGCTGCCCTCGGGCTCCGCGCCCGCCCCGCCCCCCCCCCCCCGCGCAGGTCCGCGCCGCCCTCCGGGAGGCCCCGGGCCGGGCGAGGCCCGCGGGGGGCGCGGGCGGGCGGGGCCGCGGCGGGGGCGGGGGCGGGGGCGGGGGCGGGCGCGGGGCGCGGCGGGCCCCCGGGGCCCGCGGGGGGCGGGGCGGGGCGGGGCGGGCCGGGCCGGGCCGGGCGGCCGGAGGCGGGAGGCGGCGCCGCCGTCCCCGCGCGCTGTCCCCGCCCCGGCGCCGCCCCGCGCAGTCGGCCGCGGCCATGGCGGGCGCGCGGAGGTGAGCGAGCCGCCCCGGCCCCGCCGCCATGTGGGGCGCCCCGGACGAGAGCTCCGTGCGCGTGGCCGTCAGGTGAGGCCGGGGCGGGGGCCGGGCCGGGCCGGGCCGGGGCGGGGACCCGCGGGGCACCCGCTGCCACCTGCGCGGCCCGGGCTCGCCGCGGCGGGGGGCGCGGCCGGGACTGCGGGGCCCCGCGGGCTCTCGCCGGGCCCGGCCGGTGCAGCCCCGCGTCCCGCGCCGGGCGGGGGGGCGCCGCGGGGGCCGGGCGCCCGGGGCGGGCCGGCGGGGCCGCGGGGAGGGGCCGGGGCGCGGGGCGCGGGGCGCGGGGCGCGGGGCGCGGGGCGCGGGGCGCGGGCCGGGGACACGGGGTGCCGCGCAGCCGCGGCGAGGCGGACGCGGCCGCCGGGAAAACTGCAGCATCATCCGGCCGGGCCGCCCCGCGCCCCGCCGCCGCCCGCCCGCCCGGCCGGCCCCGCCCGCGCCCCCCGGCCCGGGGCCCGGGAGCCGGGAGCCCGCAGAGAACGAGAACCTCCGCCCGCAGCCTCCCGGCCGGGCCTGGGGCGGGGCCGCGGGCCTGGACTCTGCCCCGCGGGGCCGGGATCGGCGCGGCTAGAGGCGCCGCGGGGGCCCGGCCGCCCGCACCCCGCGCAGGGCCCGCGTCCGGGCAGCGCCACCCCCGGGCCGGGCCGGGCCGGGCCGGGCCTCCGCGCAGGTGGCTGCGCCCCTCGGACCCGGAGCGAGGCGGCCTGGAAGGCGGAGCCCAGGCTGGGCGCAGCCGCTGCCCAGCCCGCGGCGCTCACCGGGTCCCCGAGGCTCGGCGGAGGCCGCCTGCCCCGTGGCCGGGCCGGGCCGGGGGCGCGGGCGCCGCCACCCCTGGGGCTGGGCTTGGGCCCGGCCGGGAGCGGTTTTCTAAACGCGCCGGAGCCGCGCGAGGTCGCTGGGCGGACGCGCTCCGGGGAGCGCGCCGTCGGGCCACAGGCACCCTGGGGCGGGGCGCCCGCCTTCTCCTCCACCCGCTGCCCCGCGCCCCTCCCCGGCCGGGCCCCCTCGGAGCCGCCGCGCCCGCCTCCCCCCTGACCAGCCTTTGCTTGGCCGCGGCTGCGGCGGCCGCTTTCCAGACGGGCCTGGAGGCCGGGCCGCCCACACTTGAGGAGGCGCGGGCAGGACCCCGCAGCACGGGCGCCGCTGGCCCTCTCCTCGCCCGGCCCGCCGGCAGGTTCCTCCTCCTCTGACACGGGCTGGAGACCGGCTGCTCGCCAGGCGCTTCCCGGGAGCCCCCCGGCCCGGTCTGGGCGGGGCCGCGCTGGGCACCGCGGCGCAGGGCGGGCGCTGCTGTGGGGGGACAGGCAGAGACTCGGGGTGTGCCAGGGCCGGGACGCCGGGGCCCCTCGGAACAAGCCCCTGCTGCCGCGAGGCTCTGGGGAGGGGGGTGCTTCTCGGCGGGGAAGACGCCTCAGACCCCATCCCGGGAACAGAGGCTGCGGCCCTGTGTGGGGCCTGCCTGCTGGGTGGGGCCGGGATCTGCGCCCCTGGCCCCGAGCCCCACTCGGGAAACCCAGGCCGCCGGCCTCCTGCCTCAGCGACGTGATCTCACATTCAAGGGCGGCCCTTGCTCTAGTCTCTGTGGCGCCCGTCCTGGGATGATGGTCCCTCCGGGTCCCCTTTGACTGCGATGCCCGTCCTCGGAGCTCTCGCCAAGGGCTTCGGGTGAGACGCAGCGTCAGGATCGGCATGTCCTGGGGACACGAGGGATTCAGAGACAGAGCCTGCGAACAGAACAGGCAGACTGACTGACGGACTGGCGAGCGGGTGTGGCTGCCCCGGCCTTCGCATGGCGCAGGCTCGAATGACGATGCGTTGCTGCGTTGAGCTGAATAAAGTCTTCTTAAAGTGAATGATTCCATTTATTTTTCCTTTTCTCATGTGGCTGTCAGAATTTTTGAAATTAAATGCCATGGTCCTCGCCTTTTATTTCCATCAGGTAGCACTGATTTATCCTTTCTTTAAAATGTGGGGCGTGGTGTCGAGGGACGCCGTGCAGCCCATCAGCACTGCAGGATGTCGATACACAGGGACTAGTCACGGCCAGGCCGCCACACAGGTCAGGCGTGCGTGCATGCACAGCTGAGCCCAGTGGCTGTCTCCCCTCAGCCCTGGCGGCGCGGAGGCCTGGCCAGTGGCTCTCTTGGCAGCTGATGTCTGGAGCACATTCGGTCAGCGGGTGGACAGCTGGGGCAGTGGTGGAGGTGGGCAGAACCGGGTGGTCACCCTTGGCTCTTATTCTCCATGTAGAGCTGAGCCGTCAGTCAGAAGAGCATCAGTGGCTCAACGTGGATCCCAGACCTTCGCCTCTCAAGGGCGCCCATTCCCCTGCCTGTCTGGGCTGCCCAGCAGGCAACACGTGCGCAGCTGGGTGGACACGGCACGAGGGGCCTCTGCATGGTGCAGCAACGTGTCTTGTGCTTGGCTGGCCCGAGGCCCGTGGTCCTCCAAGGGCTGGGGGGGACATGCTCTCACTTGTCGAGTTTCCGCTTGGCGTGCATGTGGAGACCTGGGCCCATGGTGGGGGGCGGGGGTGCTCCATGTTAGGTCGGCCTGGTGCTGACAGTATAGGGTCCCTCCCTGCACTTTCTTTCCCTCGTGCTGAGTTGGCGGTGTCAGCGTGTTCCAGTGGTGGTGACGTCAGGTATCAGGTGGTGACGGCCGATATCAGGTGGTAGTGATGGCAGGTATCAGGTGGTGACGGCAGGTATCGTGTGGTGGTGACAGCAGGTATCAGGTGGTGAGGACTTGCACGCTCCCTGTTAGCTGTATGACTGTTGCAGGGAGCCGTGCTGTTGGGGAGACAACACCTCCGCTCAGCCTTGGCCAGTGCTAGGTTTGCCGAGCCCTGGCTGCTGAGAGGCAGTGTGGGCTGTGCCCCCCACGTGTCCTCATTTCAGGCTCTGTGTTTTTTTTTTTGTTTTGTTTTGTTTTTTTGTGGGACCCTTGCTGGCAGCCAGGGAACGAACCAGCGCTGCAGAGGCTGTGGGCAGCCTCGCAGCCCAGAGCTCAACCGCTGCGCCACCAGGGGAGGCCCTCCAGGCTCTGTGTTTTATTTGATCTGCCTTTGCTTTTTTTTTTTTAAGATTTATTTATCCATGCATACAAGAGCTGGGGTACAGGCCAGACATGTGGGGGGTGAGAGGATTCACCAGAGACAGAGTGGGGAGCAGAACAGGCAGATTGACTTAAATACGCTGCTGAGGGGAGCAGCGGGTGAGACAGGAGAGGTCTGCTGCGCCATGTGGGTTGCTCCCTGGCAGGCCGGGGATCGAACTCATGCCACAGAGGCTGCGGACTGCTTCATAGTACAGTGCTTTATCCCTTGCACCACCAGGGAGGCCGTTGATCTGCCTTTGCGCCCGTGAGGTGTGGGGAGACAGCATTAGCTCTGTTCACAGATGATAAAAGCATCTCAGAGGCCGTGGCCCAGCACCCAGTCCCAGGCCAGGGCTCAGCCCAGCTCCCTGACCTCACAGCTTTTCCAAATGTCACGGAGCATTTCTCGTGCCTGTTTCAAGGTCACAAAGAGAGTTGGAGCCTCAATGCTGGTGCACTGTGGGGCGCACTTGAAACAACATCTTGTTGGGAGCACGCGGAGGCCAGGCGGCAAGGTCCACGCAAGAACCTGTCTGTGGCAGCGCTGGGCTCCTGTGTCTCTTCCCTCGTCTTCTTCGGAGCCGGCGGGGCTGGGTGGCAAGGCACAGTGAGACTTGAGAGACCATCACAGGGGTTTCATTTTTTTTTGTTTCTTTTTTAAAATATTTATTTTTATGCAAGAACTGGGGTACAGGCCAGAGGTGTGGAGGTGAGAGCACTCACAAGAGACAGAGTGGGGAGCAGAACAAGCAGATCCACTGAAATCCACTGTTGCAGGGAACCGCGCTGTTGGGGAGACACCACCTCCGCTCAGCCTTGGGAGCAGCAGAGAGACAGGAGAGGTCTGCTGTGCCGTGTGGGTAGCTCCCTGGCTGGGGATCAAACTCGTCCTGCAGTGACTGCGGACAGCTTCATAGGTTGTGTCTTAACCCCTGCGCCACCAGGGAGACCCTGTGGTTTTCATTTCTTTCCAGTAGCCGTGCTTTAAGCTTGTGCTTCCCACAACAGAGTCACCGCGCGGCCCTACTCTGCCTCCCCCCTGCCCTGTGCGAGGGTCGAGCTCCAGCCCTCAAGGGCAGGGAGCAGGCACTGCAGGGCGGGGGCGGGGGGCACTGGAGGCCATCCTCGTGGGGCTGAGCGGCTTTATGGCCGGATGCGGCCAGCGTGTCTCCCCGACCAGGAGGCCCTGGCTGTGCGGCTGCAGGCAGCCAGGCACGCGGGGCTGGGGAAGTCAGGTTGTGCCTAGTAATTACCGCCCCTGAACTCTTGCCGTCTCACCTACTAATTGGCTATTATCTGGGTGCCTAATTATGGGGTGGTGAGCGGTGCACCAGAAATTCCAGTTCAGTGGGGCAACGAAGGCAGAAACCACCTTGGCATCGACTCCGTAATCGGCCTGATCTTTCAGTTCTCATCGATTTCTCCTCAAAGAAGCGAAACTGGCAACAGCCCTTACTGTGGGTGTGCCCCTGAGCTGCGTCTCCACCCGTGGGGCCGCCGGCTTGTGAGAAGCTGCTGTCCGCCAGGGTCAGCATGACCTTTGCCTGAGTGTCGGGCAGGAAGACGCGTCCAGGACGGTGCCGGCCGGAAGGGGGGAGGCTTTGTCCCGCAGAAACAGGCCCTGCGGTGGGCTTGCCGCCCTGCCCTCCGCTGCCCGGAGCCGCTGGCCCAACTTCTCGGGGTACTTCTGCGGCTGGGACCTGACCCGACGGCAACCAGAGAGCCCCGGCCCGCTGGCGCGCTGCCCGAGATTATCCCGGGGCTTCTGGACGTGTGAGAACAGCATGTCGCGTCCCTTTGTCCGTTGCTTCTGAAGTTCGTAGACTGACTCACTGCACAGTTTCCAGGGCCTCGTAGTTATTGGCCAAATAGGGTTTCAAGCTTGAGGGCCCTGAAGGCCCGCGGGGCCGGTCCCTGCTCTGTGCGGGCCT